TTCAACTTTGAATTGGCGGCCTCAGCTGTCTGTTGCGAGGATGGATGACCCACGCTGTGCAAACCCTTGCAAGATCCCAGGCCGGACCACCAGAGGGCTGTGAAGAGCCTTGCAACGCCATATGTTTCCATCGGCACATCTCTCCAGCACAGGTACTCCTTCTCCCAATATGAAGCCCACCGGTTTTCCAACCAGACTCGGCGAATGCGGTCCAGGATCACGGTCAGAAATACATGTAGCATGGACTCGGTCGGGACAAAAAGAAGACAGCGTACCAGCGCAAGCGCGGCCCATATTGGCCGATTGACCAAGTGCGGTGGCCTAGCCTTGGCTTTGGCCTTGGGCTTGGCCTGGGCTCGTGCTCTCCCGCGACCGGCGGCCTTGGGGGCGGCCTGCCGGGGAGGCCTGGTGCCAGCGGACTGATTGGACTTCAAATTCCGCCGCATGTGCTCTACTCCACAACGGAGCTGAATGCGTGGAAAGGTAGAGGCAGAGGCAATTCTGGATCCGTCGAACCAATCTAAGCTGATGCTCGAGGGCTTTGGCAATCCTCGAGCGGCCAACCCGTCTCGAAGCGCGACAAGCATGCGGCCGTAGATGGTCCCATCCTCACTGCGACTGCACGACATAACCATTGGCCAGAAGGACTTCCGAGAGGTCTGCTGCAAGCGCCTGTGCACTCGAAGACCTTAGCCGCTTGAGAAACAACTGATCTGTGCGCAGCCGTCAGCCTGGGGTCAACAAGGGCTCTAGACAATTGTTGAACCAATGCCGGTCGAGGTGCACAGCACTCCGTAGGAGTAACCCATGATCGCTAAGCGAAACGTGAAGTCACTCGTGACATGGATTGCATCTGGGTGCCGGCTGTGCAAATCCCTTGCAGCCTCGAAAAAGCCAGTCAGCCGCACCACCCACTGAAAAGGCGTCCTGAGGGCGAAAATGAAAACCCTTACCCGTGCTGCTAACTCCTCATGCGAAGCACCCGGCCTAGAAGTGTAGGCAAACTCGAGCTTCTCCGTGTCTCGGGTAGCAGCAAAAGCTTCGAACGTGTCCTGGGACTCTGTCCACTCGCGGGTCCCTGCCCCATATTTGCTTTTGTGGTTCCGGAGGATCGTGCGAATACGCGCCCGGGGGATGCCCGGGCCCATGCGAATTGCAACCGCAGCTGTGGTGGCTTTGCGGCTTGTGACCAAGAGAGTCTCTGCTGCCTTCAAAACCTGTTCTCTTTCGCCAACTGTAATCTCACCATCTTTGTGTTTCTTGGCTTTGCGCGTCTTTTGGGGCTCGCCATGACAAGCGCCGGCGCTTTGCACTGAGAGCTCAAAAATGCCGACCCGCGCCCAGCATCCAGTGAAGGCAAAGACCCTGCCGGCTCCCTGGACGCACATAGCACAGCGGTGGCAGCGAGCCGTGCACCGCCAATCGTCTCGCGGCAGCTGCCGGGGTGTGGATATGTTTCCGAGCGTGACATCATTTGTAGAGGCCCAAAGTCTAGCAGCAGCTCTCAATACGTTTTTGATAAAGTCCTTTGGTAAACGGTCTGCCGAATACGAGACACGCTCCAATTCTTGGAATTGCAAGCTTCGTCTCGCCGGACGGGCAGGATTTGGATCTTCTTCTTCAACAGGCAGGGCTGGTTCCATGGCCGTGTGGGCACGACGTGTGTCTCACGAAGCTCACAATAAATTGATCCAAAAGTATGAAGCTACTGCAAACCCCATGGCCATGTCCTTCCTTGCCCTGACTTTCAGCCTAGACCCGTATTGGGTTCCAAGCCCCCGAATGCTGATTGGTTGCTGTGATTCCTGCTGACTCGCTCGTGCCGGGGGCTTCGGGTCTGTAGTGCTCATGCCGGACTCTGTATGACCGGGCTACCAGCGCACTTGCCAGACACTAGAGATGCTTCCAGCCTGTAGCACCCTGATCGGCCGCAAGGCTTCGAGGCCTTCCGGGCAGCGCAAGGGTACAGGGGTTGGGAACTTCATGTGCGTTGAGGTTTAGGCTGCTTAGTCGGAATACCACAAAGGGCTTAGGACTTAGGGCCTAAGGTTGTCTGGGGAAGGGAACAAAATGCGTGTCTCCGGCCCTCTGTCAAGCGGCGGTGATCATCAATGCCAGCTGCGTCAGCTGCCGAAAGAAGCGAAATACTCTGAAGACTCCTTCGTACGAGCAGCATGACCGGCCAGGGGGGCTCACGCCGTAACAGACTCACTCCAAGCTTCGGATAATGCAGAGGGTCTTCAACATCTTCACCGTGTCGAAACCATTTGCGCCGGCACCCATGGCTCCTTGTGGCAGGGCAACGGGCTGGCAGCACAGGCAGACCAAGAGCAGAGGGCAGACCCAGAGCTCTGTTGCTTTCGAGCGTCTCACCACCACAATGTCAAAGACCAGCACGAGGTCGAAGAAATTCCTTAGATCGCCATCGAAGCAGTCCGCTTCCTTCCCTCTGCCACGGCAACCGAGCTGACTTGACTGCAGCACGGCTGCCACAATCGCATATCCAAATCCGTAAACCAGCTGGCCTGCTGAACAAGCGGTGAGAACATTCAGCTGGCACACAAGCGAGAGACGCCCAAGACGATGCCAGATGGCAGCATGAGGGGGGCCTGGTGCGCCCCGATCCGCAAAGTCAGCTCCTTAGCAGCTATTCAGAGCCGCTTGCATGAAATGAAGCGTGCAAGCGACGACACCGCCAAACAGCTAGCACATTCTTGTGCGACGTTTACCCTCGAGATCCTGGTCCAAAAGCTCACATGGCGAGGTGCGACAATGAAATAAGCGGTGCAGAGCTGACTCACCAACTCCACACCTCACCCTAAACCCTAAACCCTTCTAAGCAGAAGCCAAGCCTGTGTGCTCCAGCGTCAGCACATGCGCTGGTTCCATGCACCCACGGGGCAGCGGAGGAGCATTACATTGGTGAAGTGCATGTACACTTGGAAATTATTGGCTTATCAGTTCGCAGCGCTCCAGCAACGAACGAGATGAGCACAGAACCCACAGTAGTTCTTTTTTGGGGTCATATGTAGAATCCTATAAGGTAATCCCAAAAAGGAACTACAACACGCTCGAGCAGCAGTGCCAGCAGGGCAATGGGCGATGTCATGTGTAAGACAAAAACGAGTCGTGGTTAGTGGGTGTGCGGCGCAGTTAGCAAGACAGCGTCTTGGTTATGACGTGGCTTTGTCTGCTGAATGTCGAGCAAATTGTTAAGGCCAGCATACACATCTCTGTGGCTTCGGACATGAGTCAAGTTTGCCGACATGATTGCTGAGTATTCAGCAAAATCGGCCACCGAACGAAACGACAAACGGAAACCTGCGCCATCTGCATGAAGAGTGATTGCTGGTGGAACCTCTTGCTGTGGAACAGGCCGATCATTTACAGCACGTGCAGCAATCAAGGTAGGAGCTACATCTGCTGTTCCCAAACCGATATTGGATGCAGAAGGGATCGGCAAAGAAGAAGATGGACCAGGCGTCGGGCAAACTGCAGGAGTGGGGGGTGGGGGAGGGAAGGCGGGAGGGGGAAGGGGAGGGGGGGGTGGAATCCACTTCGGCGTGGTGCCACGGGAGGGGGGAGGGGCAGAAGTGGGGAGGGGAGGGGGGGGCAAAGGGGGAAGGGGGGAGGAGGAGGGTGGAGGGAGAGGTGGGGGAGGAGGGGGGGGAAATGATGTGCGGGTACCGCGTCTCTTTCCTGAGGCATCCATGGCAAACTGATCAGCAACTACCCAAAAGTACAGCTCATGTACTCAACTTGTAGCCGAAGACCTGCGACAAGTCAGCGGTGAAGTCAGATTCGGGAAAGTCAATCAGATCATAGAAAGTCAGTGGGAAAGTCAGCATTCAGGTTTCGGTAAAGGCATTTGGTAAAGACTCACTGAGAAAGTCAGCTTGCAAGCACGGATATAGAATCAGGGAAAGTCATCCAATGCTTATACAGTCAATCGGGAAAGTCAGCGCCAGAGCTACCTCTGGGAGACACGGCGCCCATAGGGAATGCCGTTGTGAAGCACACTTGACACATCGTGTCGCAGGTCTGATCTGTCGGTGCATACTGTCAGGGAAAGTCAGCAGCTGTCAGGGAAAGTCAGAGGCTGCACGAGAAAGTCAGAACATGCAATCTGAAGTACTACCATAGGACAAACACGAATCACTCATGTAAGACTGACATGTGCAGACCCTCACTCATGACTGTCGCATTCACAGACAAACTCTTGAACATGAACTGAGCAAGAAACTGACCAATGCAAGCCCTCACTCATGACTGTCGCATTCACAGATACGCTCTCAAGCTGCCACATGCGTGACCCATGAGCAGCTTTATGCAGGTACAGGTTCACACGTCTGTGAGCCCATCCAGTCAACATCCATAGCTTCGTTGGCGTGGCTAGGATGCGACTGCCACGCCCCCTGCTGCTTAACTCACTCACATCTCTTGGAAACAGAGTTGGACACACACACACACACACACACACACACACACACACACACACACACACACACACACACACACACACACACACACACACACACACACACACACACACACACACACACACACACACACACACACACACACACACACACACACACACACACACACACACACACACACACACACACACACACACACACACACACACACACACACACACACACACACACACACACACACACACACACACACACACACACACACACACACACACACACACACACACACACACACACACACACACACACACACACACACACACACACACACACACCCACACACCCACACACGCACCCACGCACCCACGCACCCACGCACCCACGCACCCACGCACGCACGCACGCACGCACCCACGCACGCACGCACGCACGCACGCACGCACGCACGCACGCACGCACGCACACCCATCCATGAGTCAATCTCCCTGGCGATCCGAACCTACCCGCTTTTAGTTACAGCCTCTCATTCTCTAAGTGAACCTCCTCGATTGAGACACGAGCATGAAAACGCTGCTGACCCTCAGCTGCTTGACCTCAACGCATCAAGGTTTGTGTCACACACCATCCGGTACAGTCCCATGTGACCGCGAGTCATGCCTCTTTAGTCTGAGTTTTCGGCACCTCGCCCGGTTGGCTCTGGAGGAACGACTCCCGTGTAGTTCCTGGCAGGTTCAGCTTCGTTCCTAACTTTCCGCAAGGTTTGGAAGTCGTGGCGGCATGGCTGTGTTGCTTCCAGGCTGACTTCCAAGGGTCCGCTTGCACAGCTGTTCCCGTTCACGGTGATGGCTTTCACCTCTCGCGATCTCGTTTCGACCGTTGATCGCATTCTCTTGCACTGTCATGCTTCCGCAGGCAAGACTTTCAGTCTCAACTGACAAGAAGCTACTAGTAACGCCCATGTACCGTCAACCATGAGGGCGAAGAGCCATGGACGAACACCAGACTCTCAATTACTGCCCCCAACACCACGGCAGATTTTTCCGGAGACCTGCAGCACGGAAGACAGTCTTCGCTCATATAGAACGCTGAACAATCAAAGCCGCTAGTCCGCAGCTGTAAACAGCCCTCAACCCTTCACCCGAAGCTCAAAACGCGGAACCTCAAAAGTCGATTGCGCTGGAAGCCCTACTGTACACCCACGCAAAATCAGTATCATAGGATTTGGAAACAAGATTCGGATGCTGAAAGCGCAGATTGGGAAAGTACCATCGCAGAATGTCTAAGCGATACATGCAAGAGCGACGATTACCTGTCCAAGTGGATGCTACACAATGCCGGAATGACCATCTCTATCTTCCTTCCGTCTTTCGCAAGGCGAGAGCAGGGTTTGTTTCCACAGAGCGGCCCAAGCTTTTTGGGGAGGAGGGAGGGCGGCGTGCGGGCCAGACACCGAGACGCGTCGATGCTTTGCTAGCCGCTAGCTCGATGGCGAGATAGATAGTTTGGCAGGGCTCTGGCGAGAGGCCACTGTGCGATCTATCTATGCCGTCTCTGTCTGTCCCATGGGGGATTCAACAATCTTTCACTGCCATCTTCATCACTCCTTCTGCCATCCTCGTCCGGCTTCGGCTGTGCGGAAACAGCTTTTCTTCTGGATTTTGAAATCAGGCGGGGCATCCAGTCTGAATCTCGCGCAATGGTTTCGGAATCGGGGCAGTTGTTTCGGAATCGCGGCAGTTTCTTGAGTCGGACAATAAATGGTTTTTGAATCGGTGCAAATAGTTTCTTAACTGCAGTCGCTGAACCCATCCAACAAAATTCTGAATCGTTCCAACAAGTTTTTGGATAGCTGTGTCTGAATCATGCTGATTGTCAGAATCCGCTTTTCACCTGATTTCAATCTCCAAACCCTTGGACCCTCAACCCCAAAAGCCCTGAGACCAAAAATCGTGTTCGAATCGCACATTGCTGTGTCACGTGATTTGGCCAGAGCAATGGCTGTCGTTTTGGTAGAGACAACCTGCAATGACCTGCAACAGCATTTCCAGTCAGTCCCACACCCCTCTCAGCATGGGGCGTTCGTTTCCAGCTGAATGTGCGGCATCAGTCCATATTCGGACGACACCTGTGCAGGTCGTCTGCGGCGCTGAAGCATGACATAAGCTAAGCAATGCAGATTGAGAATGTCGATCCAGAGCTCGCCAGTTGCGCTGGCGAGGTCTTCGATTGTCGCTCTCAGTTTCTCACTAGAAAGATTGGCGCATGGAGCTTGCCTTGGCAAAGTGATCCAGAAGCTCGTCGCGTGAGGGCCAGGTTGCCATGTCAGTTGGTACCTTCGCGACGCATTGAGGCTACAGTGCCATCGCAACTTAAAAATCTCCAGAATTGCTCAGCCGAGCCAGGAAGCCGGATTCTGAAAGTCGTATTGCAGGTGGTATGTGCCAAGCTCGGTTTGCAGCTTTGAGGTCTTGTTCGCCTCACAAAGAAACCGCGGTACGCAGCTTCTCTCTTCTGCTTCCGCCAGCTCCGGCCTGCGAAATCCAGGAAGTTCCGCCGACCTGCACCGCATTGCGGCATTGGGCTAGTAATGCGCAGCTTTCTTTCTGCTTTGCCTTAGCTCCCGCCTTGTTCCGGCGATCAACGATGACGAAATTTGGGTGGTCGTTCTGTAGCAGGAAAAGGCCCTGGAATTTTCGGCAGGTCCGCACCATACGGACTGAAAAGCAACTTGGCACTTAGAACGATTCTATGCACTTTCTCGTGCTTGCAAGACTGGCAACCACAAACATCAGGGCTTGTCCGGGATTCTCGTGGGAGGGAGCTTCTTGAGAATGTTTTGAATGAATGCAGGCAGAGCACGTGTCGCAGTCCGATATGTCCAGCACCAATGATGAGAAACGGATCCTCATACCTGTCGCCGCAAAGGCATGTGGCAGCCATGCCATGCAGCGTGTGACTACTGCTCGTCGCACTTTGTTCTCTCGGGCTTGAACGATTTAATGCCCTTGACATTCACCTTCCTTCTCACCTCATAAGCAAGCGCAAGCTTTGCACCAGTGCTCCAAAACAGGAGGTGCAAACATGAGCGACATAGCTCACAAATGAGCCAACAGAAGGACATCACACCTCCTCATGGTCCATCTGCATCCTGTCAACTACGGGTTTGAAACAACGTACGAGTTCTGTGCCAGAAAGCAGAAGATACGAGCCACAGGGTATGCACCACAATCCTCCAAGAGCATCCAGCTTTCGTGGCAAACTGTAGAGAATCGGGGTCCACTCCGAGCCTTGCGGGGACATCTGTGGACCGTTTCAGAGCTGTCGGATCGCTCAGGTTATTGTGTGGGATCTCCAGCGCTGTTTGAAGACTCAAGTGACACTCTCCGCTCTACTGCCAGTAGCTAAGGAATCGAACTGGTACTGGCCACCTCCAAGACTGTCAAGCTTCCGGCTTCATGGAGAGGTGCTGCTTGAGCTCAAGCACCTTTGTGCTGGTGACGATTGGCACGACCAGCACCTGAAAGCCAGTTGCTGCTGGAGCTACAGGCAGAAGGGCTCCAGATGCTCTGGAGTCTGGAAATCGTAGAGAGGCCTCATCTGAGCCGTTGATACGCAGCTCTGTCTGAACCTGCTACAGTGCTACACGATGTAGTCAAGTGATGGCATGCGAGAAACGCCGAGGCGGCCACGGGTGTCTGACTGGCCGGCTGAATCCCCGGACCCAGAATTTTGAACTGCACCTCAGCTGCGCACCATGTCCTCGTTCAACACCAGCCTGTTGCATCCTGCCCCGAACAAATCGCAACAACGCATTTCGCACTTTGGGTTCGTCTGCCATACTTTCAAGCAGGCTTCCCTTGCAAATTTATGTCGTTCCCTTGCAAAGCAACATAGTTCTATGACGAGAATGACAGACGGTGCAACTTCTAGGCAGCGAGGATGCCTCTGTTGCTGCTTGGAGCCTGTGGATTGCCTTGCACTAAGTACATACCATCAAACCTATGCTGTCGGTCCGAGGCAGGCACCATATCTCTGTCCGGCGCAAACCCGGCCCGCTGAGCTGCATCACAATACTAAATGTTAGGCTGGCTCCTCGTAGGCTTGGCCAAAGTGTATGCTTGCCGTCAATGATGGATCAGTACTTTGGGGGTGATGCCGCTTGTAGTTTTGCATGCCTTGAGCCGACAGTACGGTCCTAGAAAGGCGACCCGCATTGCGACAGTTGCAGCTGGACAAGGCCCGACAAACTCGTGCCGACGCAGCCTGAGAATGGACCGCAACTCTGCTGATCCATGCAGATCATGAACTTCGTAATCAAGAACCTTGTGCACACGCTGCGTGTGTGACGTTTCATCTGTGATCGCAGCGAATCCCAGCTGTCTTGGCAGCAGGCAAAATTGATCCACATGCTGGAGTTCGGCTGCTCGGGCGGATGCTCGTGTCTTGCCTCGCACCCGAGGAACTTCCCCAAACACGTGGCTGCACTGCACAGCAATGGGATGCAGACGACAAGCGCCCGCAGTGTCTCCAAGGTCTCTTGCCGAGACAAGTTCCTGACCTCAGAGTCCCAGACAGAGCGCAGCAGAGTGCCGCAGGAGCGGAGCCACAGTTGCCACATTGACGTGAGGACACCGCCACGCTGATGGCATCAGAACTCCGCGGCACGGCTCTCGCCGCCTCAGGATTTTGAGTACCAGGCCGACTCGCAGAAGTTGAACCGACTCTAAGATCTGTACCGTCACCGGCAGCCAGTTGCCATCTTTCAGAGCTTGCCGTAACTGACCAAGAAGCTCATCCTTGAAAAACACCGAGATGCGATGTACAGCGGCCCTGACGATTCTGATTAGGCCGTCTCATCTACCGTAGTATCCTCACCGCCACATAGATTCTGCGCTGCGTCTGCCACGCTGCTTCTGAGGCTCTAGCGACTGAAGGCTTCGCACGAACGTCGCCACGGCTTTCGTGTCTGAGCTTGTCGCGCAGATCCTCAAGCACTCTGAGCTTCTTGTAGGAATATGGCGGTCCTGCTTCAGCAGATGCGCTGATTTTTCTCGCACACACTGGCGATCAGGCGACACAGTGAAACATTAATGGCATAAGCAGAAACTCGAGTCTTGGCTCACAGTAGCATAGCACTCCGTGCGAAAACCCAACGAAGTTTTCAACAAATTCTACTTGTATTTGTTCTATGCAAACGCAAAAAGCGCGAACATGTCTTATGCACCCATGTAGATGTCACAGTTGAAAGCGTTTCTAGCTCCTGCCGATCCCAAGCGTGCGAACAAACACACCCTTGGCCACGCTCAGCTTGCCAGCGGAGGTGCCACCGTGACGGTCACCAACTGACCACAACGACAGTGCAGTCGTTCACAGTTAGCGGAAGCTTCGAAATGCGCGTGATGAGCCTCTTGGGGTTGAAGCTGTGGGAAGGGCTGCTCTGCCCACCTTCCGAAATTCTTGGGGCAAAATTGAGGTAAGGGATCTGGCACAGCATGTCACTCCTCTTACCTGGCACGAGCTGCAGCCATTCCTTCCATCTTTTTGATCCTGAGAGGGTGCACCGGATGCCGACAGGGTTAGTGATAGCTGCTGAGGGACAGACGTCGGAAGTGCCTTCGTAATCCGGTCTGCGACTGTTGAATACTTATCAGCGGTCGTTCGCGCATCCTCGAAGCGTTGCAGGATGTAGACATGGTATGGCACGGCACAGCGCGAGTCTGGACCTCGGCCCGCTTGGCCAGAGTCTCGGCCTCCCTGGCATAGAGCGCGGCCTCTGCAGAGTCCAGCTATGAAACCAGGAACTGCTGAGCCAAGGAGAAGGTATCAGAAACCGAGTGCCTCGGAGCTGCTTCCACTCATTCTGTATTGGTCCGCATAGCCCTGTGGCAAGGTCTTCTTTGCCACGTGCAAGCCACGAGCCGATTGCGGTGCCTGCAGCTTTCTCATGGCTTGCTCCGTGGCACTGGCCTCGGCTTTCCATGCCGATGCCTTAGAGATGGACAAGGAATGCAGGTTTCAGAAGGATATCAAGGGAAACGATTCCTGTCCAAACTTTCGATATCGGTTCGATGTTGGGTTGGGCAATCTGATGAAACGGTAGGCAAAGCCAGCTCTTCTGACATCCGGGCTTGATAGGGCCTCAGAACCCAGTTGTTGGGAGACCTCAGTGAACTAGTCGTTGGCTCTTGTTCGCGATAGCTGTCTTTAGTTTATTTTACGTGCTTGGGAGTTCAAGGGCTCGCAAGCACTGCGCAATGCAATGTGAACACATGTTTAAACGAAGCTATGTGTAAATCGGGTGTAAACCACTGCTTGCTTGCATACTGTATGCAGGAGAACTCATCAATTAAACCCGTCTAAGCGTTTATACCGCAAACGTCTGTGCAGCTACCTCCACTGACACAAAGTTTATCTTGTGTTGGTGGCTTGGTCAAAACCATCCTTGAAGCTTCGCGAAGTCACCCAGGCGAAAACCCACTGAAGGCCTGCTTCCTGTTTCCCTCGGAGAAGTCGCCCAGACTTCATGTGCCATTCACTTGGTCTCGCACAGCTTTGGTGTAGTCTAGCTGAGACTTCGTGTACGACAGCTCTGCCTCCGCTTGACACTGACAAGACAACTTGTGCTAGCATTGGTTTGCAAACATTGCCCGTCCGCGGCCCCATGGAATGTTGAAAAAGTAGCAAACGGTGATGCAAAACGGGCCTTGACGTACGGCGAGACGGCCGCTCCAGCGACCTCAGAAGCTTGTGAGGGCGCCGGATCCTGTCAGGATAGGGAATATCAACGTTGTCCACAGGCAGGCAAAGCGCACGCCGGGCGGTCCTTCAAGAGTCGTTTGAAACGGCCACCAGCTTGAACCTTACAAACATGGCCACTTACAACTTGAAATACATCAAGTGCATGCAGGTGCCGGAGTCGCTGAGAACTGTCTTGGACTTTGGCCCAGTCAAGCACGGGACGCTTGCGGATGGCCTGCAGGCAATGCACAAGTTGCAACGCCAAATCTCAAGTGCTGGGCTCACTGGGCTCGTGGCGGTCATGACTTTCTCATTCACCGTGCCGGCATCTGTTGCGGCATTTTCTGCCCTTCGGGCCCAGAGTGCCTTAGATCAAAGGCTGAGGTGAGGACAAGAGCGAGTCTGATTGCTGAGTTCTGCTTGGTGCGCAGCAGCCTCTGCTTCGGCATCGTTTGCCTCTCTCTCGTACTTTTGAGCTTGCAGCTCCAACCTTAGGGCGTGAGCCAGTTGAGCGTTGGACATTGCATCGCCTTGTAGTGGCCCTGCCTCTGCGCTCTGCTTTTGGGAGCTTGCCCAGCTAGATCTGCGGTGGACAAGGAGCAGGCGGGAACAGCCTCATCCGTGCTGGATATGTTAAAGTCCGAAGGATTCCCTCTGACGCAACTCAGGCCACTTCCAGCAGCACCAGCAACCAACCTGACCTTAGCGTATTCGGCAGTGGCAGAGCTCGGGCAAACAGCTACCAAAACAAGTTGTCTGTCGAACTCGTCGCAGTCAGCTGTCATTTACCGCTGAAAGATTCTATCTAAAGGCAGTGCCGCGGCATCAGACATTAACGGCTACGAAGATCTAGCATCCGAGAACTCCGATGAGTGGAAACGACCCGCTCAGTCTGAGGCCCAGTTCTCTTCATTGTGCCGGCTCGGCCCACAGAGTGGGCTTCGCTTGAGCCAATATGAATCCGTGGAAGCTATAAGGGGTCCGAAACAAACGGCTTGCTACAAAGGCATTGAGCACATGCGCAGCATCCTTGAGTCACACCACAAACTGGAGCACTGTCCTCCAACTTCCTCATCCACACGTTGAAACCGTCTGCCAGGAAGCTTTTGCGGAGCACCGGAGGTTCAGTGGGATTCCGCACTGTCTGCAATTTGTGACGTGGCAACGGGAGCCTGCAGTTTCAGCGTCCTCCTCCCCGTCACAATCATTGTCCCGAGAAGGAAGAGTCTCGAGCTGAAAGATCATGTCGCCCTCATGCTGCAAAACGAGAGACAAGTCTCACGATGTCGTTGGTCATGCAAATTCTCAGCACCGAGCTTCATCTGAGTCTTGCTGAATCCAGGCTTTCTCGTCATCGTTTAAGTTGTGGTCACCAACCTACGCATATGCGAGACCCAGCTTTCTGCAACCTCGACTTGCTGCAGTGCTGCTTCAACGACACTGGAGTCGCTGCACTTGCCTCATCAATAGGATGAACGAACTTTGCCGCTTCCTCGTCGTCATCGTCGTCCTCCTCCTCTTTGCCATCCTCCCGGAATGGCAACACTAAATCTGGAGGGCGCTTCACTGCAGCACGTGGAAGCTGAAACGCTGCACAGATGCGACCAAATCAATGCAACTCCGTATAGATTTTTCAAGTTCGCAGTCTGCAAGTCGTCTTGCCAGCACATGATGCATCAGGCAGCCTGCGTAGGCATTTCGCAAAGCACTGCCCAATGCTGAAACCGGCGAGCTGGGATCCCGGCCAGTGATTCAACAGCATTTGGACTGAGCCTTTGATGTGACGAGCTGCCTGGCATAGGATTTACACGAATGCAGCGCATTGTATCGACCTGTTTAGCGAGAAACAGTGAGAACCTAGACCTTCACCAGGCACAAAGCAACTTGAATCTGAGCCCTGTCTTGTCAGCGATGGTGATTCTTTTGGAACTCGTTAAAGCCTGTGGTCAGCACAAGGCTGACAGGAATGGATTTAGAAATGGGGCTGCCGGCAACTGTCGTTTGGACAGCGCCTTGTGACCGCCCAAGCAGCGAAGTCAGCTGTGATGCCGCTGTTCTGGCATCTCTCATCTCAATGCGGAAGCGGCCCCTCTCGGCTGCTTGATAGTATCGTTTTGTAACTCTGGTGAAACACCCTCAAGATTCGAGTCAACCACCGAGACGCTGTCCGCTTCCCTGGAAGGCTTGGAAATTCGCCTCAGTTGCGTTTGCATGGTTTGTCGCGATTCCACGATCAGCTTACACACCAGTCAAAAAACCTTGGTGCTTCGGTGCAATGCTTTCCCTCACTTGCTCGCCGATTCTCCTACTTCGTGGGCTCAGGGCCAGGTCACGCTTTGTTTGTTACTCTTCCCTCCCTCCCTCTCCCTCCCATCCATTCCGTCCCTCGGCTGCTGCCGGACGAAGGCCCTTGAACACTGCACCCGAATGCTGCCAGGACGCGGCTGGTCTCGAGTCTCGCGGCATGTCATCATTAGACTCGCGCGCCTTAGGAAAAAGGCATGACACGAGTTTCGCTCTTCGGGTGACCCGTCCCTGGCCTGCGGGTAGGCTGTGCCGCCACTGCTCCAGTCTCCGCCCGACATCGTAACCCCAGAATCCCGCACCTGCACTCATCGAGATCGAATGCTGAACACTGGGATGAAGAGACAAACACGAAAGGTTAAAACCGAACCAAACTGTTATCTCTACACATGTCCAAACTGTGAGAGTTGATATGCGCGACGTCACAGCTAAGTCTGAGCTCCTTGCTGCTGCTGCTGCAAGATTCACAACAAAAGCGGAAGACTGCATTCAATTTCGTGCATGCTGCATGCCGCCAGCCGGCTTAAACCCTGCACACAAGCGTTGCGTCCGAGGCCTCTCGGTATGCCAGGTAGCCGTAGATCGATCCAATGATTTGTGCTAGAAGCGCTCCCACCGTCGACACCAAGAGGAGCCACACACGGAATGCATCCTTGGCTGCCACCGCACTGAAAAACACCAACATCTGAAGTGTCATCACACCTCTTCACTGAGTGGCATAAAATGATACCGCGTTCAGCATGACCTTAAAATCGCGGATGATGAGCCTTGCACGAGAAGGATTTACCATCGGGCATACATGCAAAGCTTTTCCACTGCTTTGACAGCAGGTACGACAAGGCCCAGATGCTGTATTTCTGACGACAGGAGGATCTGGAGCAACACGGTGATGATGTTGCCTCAGTAAGCCGACGAATCGTTCGGACCTTGTGCTGACCCCTAAGGATATCGTGGCATGTGAAGTGCAACACTTGTTTGCCCCTCGTATTTCTTGTTCGTCTCGGACTGCGATTGCGGACTCAGAATGGTAGCTGGTAGCGTTTCCAAATCTGCCAAGAGCAAATCCGGTGAATTTTCCTGTAGTTGAATATTACCGCTTCGTTGCACAACTGATGCTAAAACCAAAACTCTCGTCAGTTGGCGCAGGCTCCTCACTCCCGGCCTTTTGGCCTTCTGCCACTCGGCTGCGGCAGGGACGCCGGTATTCCGTTTAATCTTGGCTGCGGATCGGGTTTCTGGGTCGAGGCCTATCAACAGCTCCGGGAGAGCGAGTACGACCAAGGGAGGAAGAACTGGCTTCTGTCAACCTGTCCAGCTGGCGAATCGTTGGAGGGCGAACCTGTCTCGGCCTTTGTTGGGCACGAGGACTTCTCGGCATACTGCATTTTGCGCTTGTTCCGGCTGGCCCACAGCATCCCTCAGCTGCAACACATCCTCCGGCATAATGATTCCCCTCGTCAAGGATCCGCAGCAGCTGAGCTTGGCTTACGAGGAGTGGTTTCGCAAGTATTCTCGGAAGTGTGAACGGTGCCCTCCGGAAAGGTGGGGAAGCGCGGAAAAAACGGCCTAGTGCACGGTGCCTCTGGGCTCGGTCACCCGACACCGTGCCGGGCTGCCAGGCTCCAGCCGTGGGTTCTGCAAGCCGCACCTCGTCTTCACCGGCGACTGGGATCTTTCTTGGAGCTGCATTGAGCTGCTCACCCTCGTAGGCTTTATATTGGAAACCCCGGCGTGGCAGCTCCCCCTGCTCCTTTGCAGTCGGTCATGATTTCGCCTCTACTCTCGGGTCAAGCCTACAAGCATCCATCTGAAGTGCCACAACAGGCAGTGCCGGAAGTAGAAGTCGGTAGTGAGCTTCCGGACATGTGGCCATGCCAGAGCTCGATGCAGCTTCCGACAAGAGCCTCTCCGTCTAGGTCGCGGTTGCAGCTGTGCTCGCTACGAAGATATGTCTTTTTGTAGCTCGACCTTTGACCGCCGATTCAAGCTGTGTAAGCCGTTCATTTGCAGCAAAGTCCAAAGGCAAAGATCCTGGGGAGTCCTGCCAAGACTTCCTTCTAACAAATCTATACGTATCAACAGCGGGTTTCTAGTCTAAAGGCCAGGAACATCCCACACGCAAAACCCGACTCTTCTGACATGGTGCAGATGATGAAGGGCATCAGGCACGTCATGCCTCCCTGGCACTGCTCTGCGCACGGCCCACAGCAGCTCCTACCAGCACTCTCACCATTTGGGTCGTTTCAGAATACAGGAAACTTAGCTTCACACAACAGGCGTGACTATCCACATCTCAAACTCGATTTGTGGGAGTTTTTGTGCCACATATGACAGATGAGAGTCTGGCCAACCAAGGCCAGCCGGCTGAACCAGGGATAACCAGTGGTTGCAAGAGCACGCTACGGTGTAGCGAAATGCAGGATTGAGCAATTAATCGTTGACTCCTGCAAAATGCTTGCAATGTCAGCTGTGGATGTATTGCATCTCTACGGGATATTTCGGGGGGAGCTGTTGGTCAGACTCGCTACAAGGACTGGTATTGGCAGGCTGTGCCCGGTCCTCGCCAGGAAGTCGAAAATCTTTCCGATCAATGGGTCATCCTTCAGCATCCAAATACCTGAAGCCAGTTCAGTGTTTGATTGCAAACCCCTAGACGCCCGCATGCAAAACAAGCAAAGTTCGACAAAGTGTTGCAGTATACAGCTAAGATCGCTGAGTTACCGATGAACGTGTTCAGAATCAGATTCAGGGATGACAGCAGCGCGTCTCCCTGGAATTGGCAGCATGGCCGTTGAGACGCAGCACGCATGCAGGTCGCCGGCTGTAGTTGCAATTGCGACCATGTCAGTTAGATCCAGATCGCTAGGATCTAACCACGAAAAGCTGCTCAATGTCGAACCGGAGCCAAGACGCAAGCTCCCCCAACAGAGCTCCTGCAAGAAGCTGACCGCAAGTGCACCTGAGTGCACGGGCACTCCACGAAAAGCAAAGTCGGATGAATGGTTGCAAATGCCCCAGGTGCAAACCAGATGCACGATCATAATCACAATGCAGGCTTTGATGATCTGCACATACATGTGTAGACAAGCTATCGTGAAGGCACACGTGAGGTGCAAACACCAGCGCTAACCGCAGCAGCACGCCTTGAACTTCTGGGCGACGATGGATGGTGGAGGACCCATCAAAGGCGTTCCCATGCCTCAGACCAGAAAGGTAGAACTCATTCAGCGGTTGGATTCGTTGCTGCGCCTCCTGGAATAGGTATGACCATGGCTGCAGTGAGGCGGCCGCTGCTGTTGTTCGCTGATACTCCCTTCACAAGGCTTTGCTGACCTCCTCGACTCGAAATGCACAGCTTTCGAAGTGGCTTGTTTCGACATATGAATGACAGGCTCGAGCCATATACGGCCTCACTCGGACAGCTCGCAGGTGCAGTCAGGACAGCTTCCTACAGGCACCTTGCTCTTTGGTGGCACAGGCGTGACACTGCAAGAAGACCACAATATTGACCCTGCAAGCATCGAACCACAAGGCCAGGTTGGTAAGTGTGGCGATGCACCTTGTTCTGACGCTGACGCCATGCGCGGACGGCTGCATGCCCATCAGTGCTTAGGCCAAGAATTTGCTTCGCTCTGTGGGATCGTGATGCTGAATGCTCGTACTCAAATGACTCACGACTGCACGTGGCTGCGAAATCGAGAGGACAGCATCACAAGCACAAGTCTCATCTGCTGAGACCCTATCACAGAAACCACTACAGGCAATTTGTGCAGCTTCCCGGGCCTGTTGCTCTGCACGGAGCTTCTTGGCCCTGGACGCGAGCTCAGATGCGGCCCAAGGATCGAAAATGCGACACTCTGCCCCGCCCCACACCTCCACGCCACTTTTTACAGATGCGTCCAGTTTGTGTCTTGACTCTCGGGCTGACTTCTGTCAGGCAGCCGAGCTTGGAAACCAATGGCTATGCCGGTGATTTCAAGCAACGACGAGTCAGTACCCTGTACAGTGCGCCAATGTGCGACACAGGTGGCATCGCGGAGGCATCATGCACCAAGGCCGACCTCGCAACCGAACCGCGAGATCGAACTCTTCAATCCTTGTGATAACTAACTGCCTGTCATGCCTAGCAGGAAGACTTGGTAAGAGAAAGAAAGTGGGAGACTCGACTTTTCAGCATCTCCAGCCTCCTCAAACATTAAAGCTCTGCCCGCAGCCGCACTCTGACTTCTTGTTGGGATTGTTAAACACGAACCTGAGCAGACCATCTGGTGAGGCTGTCTGAATGAAATGCAAACCTACGCCGGGACCTTCCAGGCCCAGATTATGCTATACTAAGGCAGTAACTCGTTGCCAACCTCATTGCTCACGAAGTCCATCTCTGTGCCTATAAGGAACATAACCTGAGACGCGGCTTCCAGGGACAGGGTTCGAATACATGCAAATTGAGAAACGAAAAGCATGCATCTGCTTCGAACCCCTGGGCACTTGGTCGCACACGGCCTTTGAGTCAACTACGACTTTAATGCCTCCATCAGCTTCCACAACCTAGCAAGTCCCACGGTCCGTAACTTTAACGACTGTTGTCTTGAGTTTGAATTGACCTGGAATTGCTTTCCGGCCTCGTCAAACTTGTTGACCTTATCCGTGTAATCCTTGCAAGAGTGAACAAGACATCACGGATCAGCTACCGCTGCCACCGCTGAGACAAGATCCATGGTATACGACATGCCGTTGCAGCCTCTCTGCCTGCACAAGTGCTGTGGTTGGTGCTTTAAGGGAATCGTCATACGAGCACTGCCTCAGGCCGACTCGCACACCGATGGTGTTGGGATCGCTATGTCTTGCCATGAGCGTGCCAAGACGGCTTGCAGCACTCTGTGTAACAGACCTTGGCCCACAGCAAGGTTCCAGAATTCTGCATGCAAGCAGTAACCCTGGACTGCAGCTGAGGTCGGCGGCATTATCTGCTTTGCAGCGGCTGCTGCCATGACTGGGTCTTCTACTAACTTGAGCAAAAGCTTCTGCGGGTGTGTGATTTAAATTCGACCTACACTGCAACTTTAGCCCTGCTGCGGCGGTGCTGCGGCCTCGGGTTTTCCGCCGCCCCGTCGCCCCGTCCTCGGCTCCGTCTCGCCATGGGCGCCGCACATGCGCCTCGGTGTCTCAGTCGCCGCCCCGGGATGCTCGGATGGGACTTGTCCCCGCCAGGGCTGCTGCAGAGGTCACTGCTCTTGCGTCGGCATGCGGAAGGCTCGACTTTGCAATAGAACCAGTGTTCTGTGTAATTTGCAGTGCGGCGTAGCTAGACATTACAGGCCTTGATCTTCCTCCTCCCCGCACATCTGTTAACCAAGACACAAAACAAGCGCAGTGGAGCTGTGTTGCGAAGTTACTCTTGAGCCTCACTCAGCTCTCTCTCTCTCTCTGAAAAGCCTCACTTCGAGCTGTTGGCAGGGTAGGAGTTCAGCAGGCTTGCAGCCCAAGCCGGGATGGAGAACACCTTGTGATTTCGAGGTCTGATGTCCTGCAGGCCAGATTTGATTGGTCTGATGCTGGCACTGCTGAAGCGGCTCGTCCTGAGAATCATCAGGAACCTCAGATGTCATGGGAATGGACATGGGTGCCCCGTGAATCGTGGGAAGCTACGAGGCAGTTCAGGCCAGTGCAGCTGCATTGTCATCCACCAAGATATCGTTGTCCATTCCTGAGGGTATGAAGCTATGAAGCAATCCGATACGAAACCTTAGAGACGCAGCAGTCACTTGGCAAAAATATCAGTGCAGCGCCCAAGTAGTCCGCTTGCGAATAGACCTTCGCCATAGCATGGCTTTATGCCGAGCTGATTTCCTCGTTTACCCTATTGAGCTCAGCGCCATGTTGTCTAACAACACGGGTATCAGATCATTCAGCAGTGACCAAACCTCGGTGAGACCGAGCTCAGGCTCCCATGCCACAGCCGCCACAGCCGAGGGTCCGAGGGCCAAGCGCACTGAACAAGCATGGCTGAGTTCGTGCATGGAGTCCAAACCTCCAACGCCTGGCACTGTCACCGAGGGCTTTCACGAAGCTGTTGTGGCCTTGCTGCGGGCCTCAACCCGCACGACGTACTCAGGATGCTTACATGCCTTCAGCATGTACCTGTGTTGCAGATGGTTTTTCAGACACAGTCCATGGTGGCTACATTTGACTCATCACCAAGCTCCGTGCTGTAGCACCACGTTTGCTAGATGCTCTGTGATGCAAGACCACTGGTTTTCGATGACACACCTTCGGAGAGATGGTGGCATTCCCGAAGTTTTCGGAGTCTGGTCGGCTCTGGTCACAGCTGAGGCACACGAAACCTTTGCACACATCTTTGAGAACATTGGCATCCTGGTCATTCGCGAGCACGCCGAGCACCTGTGCACGAAAGAAGCCTGGAGATGAAGCAAGTCTGCCAGAATCCGAGTGCTCGGAATCTGCAGGGTCTCCGGCTCACAAACTTGGAAAGCGCACCTCGAGGTACTGCCCTGCAAAGGGTTGAAGCGCTGGAAACCTGTCGCAATGCGTCTCGCACTCTACCCCCTGCGCTCTGATCACTGCCACATCTCCAGTCCAAGTCCAAGTGAAGTACTTTGGCTCGTGGAAGGCCCAGTTCAAAGCAAAATGATTCAAACCTTGGCAAGTCGGAGTCGCCCGAGTTTCAGTAGTCAAAGCAGGGATCTGGCATTCTATGGCGTTCTGTCGAACATGGAGCGGTGCCTGCGGGGAGGCGTACCTGCGGAAGCTGAAGTGTTTTTTGCGCTTCCTTCCAGCACTCCGCCAGCCGCCAGCTCTTAACTTACGATTCTTGAAGCTCATGCTGACGAGCACTTGGAAAATGTGCGGTGTGCGGCATGCAACTGATGCAGCTGGATGATTGTTGCTTCGCACTTGACGTGCTAGGATATGCTAATTACGGTAGCTGCGGCTCAGTTCTTTTTTGTTGGAACTGCTCAGTCTTGTATTGACGGGGCAATGCCACCGACAGGCTCCTTAGGAGCCTTCGGGGAGTTGCAAGACGTCAGGCATCGCCGCCTGCAGGGGCATAAGGTATGCGGACATGCCGATCGCCGGCGAAATCCAAAAGCGTAAAGCTAAAGGATCTCAGGTGTCAGATCCAAGCCTGAGCTCCAACTTCTTCACCAGAGCCTGCTCTTGTGAAGGTTGCGCCCCTGAGAACACTGAGAATCATCCGAGACGGAATTCACTCTGTGCATCATTATGGCCGACCAACCTACCCACCTTCCCGAACATGTTGCGGAGAACACTCAACGTGCGCACACTCGTACAGTGGGCGGAATACAGAGCTCGTCGTGCCCAGCCTCTTTGGCCGGCCAGTTTTGGGCTTGCCAGCAGGAGGTGACATTGCGGCACTCGAGCCAGAAGTCTGTTTCCTTGGTTGTTGTCGACGTGACCCGTCTCGATGTCACAACAAAGTTCTTCTGACTTCCTTGGCTGTGCTGTCTCCGTCGTGCCGACAAGGCGCGCGACCACGAGGCTTGCGCTGCCCTCGGGCGCTAGCCCGTCCTCGCCGAAAAAAGAAGCATGAAGGCTTCACAAACCCACAGCCAGGATCCATAGACATTCAGAAGCATACAGCGTTAACATATGTTGTGCTCTGTCTGTCAGCTTTTTATTTCTTGGAGTTGTCTGCGGTTAGTTCGAGCTGCTCGAGTTCAGCTTTGGCAGTGCTTTGGCTTGGCTTGCCTGTCGAGGCTTCCCTCCGACATTAGGAAGGCCAGCACAACAACTGTAACGATGTGTTAGTTAATCAAACACTCTACAGCTGTGCAGTGTCTCCGTTTTGGTCGTAGCGCGAACTGCGCCCGGCCGAGCACACCGCCCCTAAAACCGGTGCCGGCTCTGCGGTGCGCGCTTCTGCGCCCCACCCCGGCCGGCCTCCTAGTCACGAAGTGTTGTAAAAAAAGGTGGCGGACAACAAGTGCGCCGCCAACGACGTGTGAGTCAAAACCCTACAGCGGTGCATTGGCTTGTGCGAACTGCGCCCGGCCGAGCACCCCGCCCCTGAAACCGGTGCAACTGTCGGGGGCTCACTGCTGCGCCGCCCGGCGCACACAGCGCCTACAAGGTGCCGGCTCTATGTCGAAAAGTCGCTGAAGCTCCCCGCGTGACACGCAAAATTGATGTCGCCCGCCGCTCTGCCGAGGATCATCATGACCTCGTCGACGGTGTGCCCTGCGTTCCTCTCGTCCCAGAACTGGCGCGCCGTAGAGAACGACGGCTCCTCAGGCCTATAGGGCTTGCAAGTGACGACGAAGCGCCCCAAATGCCGGGTCTTGGCCGTTTTCGCCCATGCCGGGCACGCTGTGCTCGCGGGCCACATGCCCCAAGGAATGCCAGGCCTCGACGAGGACAGCAGAAAGTCGCCCAAGCCGACGACGTCCATCGCCAGGATTGCCTCTTTCAGCTGGTCGTTTGTCAGCCCGGCGATGATTTATGGCATAGTCTGTTTTGTCTGGTCTCTGCGGAGACCCGCTCGAGACCGCCCAAGAACCGTGCGCCCGACGTGGACGGCTCCTCAACCCTCATCCCGCCAACGACGAGGAGCTCCTCAACCTCAACCTCCACCGCCGATGTAGTAGGTGTGGCCACGGGCTCGATCGGCGAAGACGGGCCGGAAGCCGCCAAGAAGTCGGCATGCTCGGCGGCGGCCGCCTCGGCGCTGGAGGAAGCCCCAGTCGACGACATGACCAGAACACGGCGAGGCGAAGGGAGCAGGGGGCAAATCAAATTTGGGCGATCGAGCCGAGACGCTGCCCAGTCGATCGCTAGCACTTGTTCCTACACGCACACGTGCGTTGCACAACAACTGATCGAGCTGTAAGCTGCAGAGTGTGATTCTACTCATGAGTTTGATTGCACATGCAGGCTTCGGTCTAGTAGGGGTGGGGTTCTGAAGGCAAGCAAGGAAAGGTCCAATGTGATGCTGCTCTCAGGTGCGGGTCCACCAATGTTGAAGTCGAAGAGCCGCTATCATCAATCTGTCACGATCAGAACCATTCTTACATCAACTTCCCACTCGGAGGTTTGGGATGCCTTTCTTATCTCCAGCTTCAACTTCTCGTTGTAGGCTTCCAGGACAGCAATCTGCTTCCTGTGGCTGCAGGCCGCATCACCGGTCGAGCAATGCTAGGCTGCCAGGCCTTGCTGCTTGATCTTCCTCGTTTAGCTTGGCCTGGCGACTTTGAAGCCTAGACTTCGCGAGGATTCGCATATCCGTCAAGCTCAGAGCTGGACAACTTTCCGTTCCAACGAGCTCTGCTGCTCCTTTTTGAAGAGATCCTGGAAGAGCAGAGGCTGAGGCTGCCACAGCATCCGTGCATCCGGACGGAGCATAGCAAAAGCGGCACTCCCGCAGGCGTGCGAGCTCCGCAGCGTTGACTCTTCGCTCGATGTCCGGATTCGCTTCCGAGAGAGCCTGCTCGGCTTTGCAATGCCATGCTAAGCGCAGTCTGTGACTCATTGCGCATGTCACGTGATGGTCGCAGAAGCATTGAGTGCGTGCCCTTTCTGCCACCACGACATGCTTCTCGGACACTAGCGGGCGGGGCAGCCAAGTTCAGCTCTCCGGTGCTCAAAGGCCAGATTCAGCGCGACGCTGCACGCCTGAACTGCATTGCAACCAATGCTGTGGCTACCAGGCAGAAACACAAGCATGGCCAGCATCAGCTTCTACTGCCTGCAAGACTTCCGTGTCGCAAGCTGGATGCAGGAGTCGTAGCCTGTCCTCATAGTTGCAAATACCATTCGAACTCGACATGGTCCGGCTTTACAGTGGTGTAAGCACAGCACTGGATGAACCTGCTTCTGGCCGTCGTAGTATGCTCTGCCTGAGTCCACAAGCCGCCAGCCGAAGGCCAGGCTGGAGACTTTGAGCCAAGTCAAGCCGTGCAACGCAGGGTAGAGCAGTCGCTGGCGCGGCGCAGTACCAACGAATCTGAGCCTCATTTCCCACAGGGCCCCCAAGCGTGCAGGTCTAAAGAGTGTTGCTGGACAGGAAAGGCTGCTGCGAGACAAGCAGGCTTCTCGTGCTTCCTCAGGAGTACGGTACCTCGCGCAGCTGGCACCCAGTGCTTGATTGTGCTCGACCCATCCGAGATGCTCACGGGCACTGACCACGTAACAGTAGCTGTGAAACTCGGTGCTCAAGCCTTGCAGCGTCAGGCTTGGCGGAGCGAGTAGATATCTCCTAAGTCTTTGCCATTGGCTATAATATAGGCACACCGCTCGGTCACGATATTTGTCAACCACGCCCAATTCAGCCTCATTTAGGCTAGGATTGGGTCTGGGCTTGGCATGCACACCAAGCTGGGCCGCCTGCGAAATCGACGTACTCACGGTTCGCGCTACGTCTCGAACCTTCGTGCTGCAGAACCGACAATGCAAAAGCACGCGGCAAAATCAGCACCACGCCTGCAGAGCTGTAGGCGATTCGGCTCTGCAAACCTCGGCATCAATCGAAGCTGGAATGCTTCACTGTCTGCTCCCAGGCCTCAACATGCAGTCTGAGGGCAGCTCGACATGCACGGACGGTGCAGGCGCTTGAACCTGACGCTGCAGCATGGTTCACGGATCAGTTGCAACTTTCGGCAGCCCAGCCTCCATGCAGAATTGCCAAGAAGCAGCAGCCATCACCGCGAAAGCCTGTGCATCGGTCATGTTCTAGCCTGGTCCGAGACGGGGCCTATGGTGGCTTTGGATCGGCAAGTAGCTACCACAGCTCCGAGCAGGAAGTGCAGGTGCATCATGCAGTGCAACCTGAAGCATCTTGTTGCTTTTACGCTGGTGACTTTCACAAGAACTAACAAATGAGCGAAGTAACAATCCTGTCAGGCTTGTCCAAAGAAGCTGGAAAATAGTTCGGAGCCTTGCAAGAATCGTGCCGAGGCTTCTGTGATGGCACGATGCAGCGGTCCCGAGGACTGAGCATCGAGCATACATGCACAAAGGAGAAGCGGGCAAAGGACCTGTGCGTAGCCGTCGCACGCAGACGCTACAGCACGAACTCAGCAGAAGCGTAAGACCGCAGCAACTTCCACTATGCTGAGCGAACTTTGGCTCCTGCACAAAAAACACATTCAAATCCCGATTGTCGAGGGACTTTCCAACCGGCACTCTTCCTGAACAAGTCCAATCATGTCAAGCGATCGATGCGAGTCGAACCCTTCGTGTTAGTGGCGTGCGATTGCCACAGGTTGCTGAGCCGAATCTCGAAGACATACAAAGGCAGCAATCACTTGCTGCGCTGCGGTATCTGTAGCTCGAACGAGCTTTGTGCTCTGGAGTGCTTCTTCCTCTTTGCCGCGGCTTGTTGCTTCAAGAACACAAACATAAAGGCCTGCTGTGTGGCTCTGTATGGGACGAGGCTTAGCGAATCCAACACCAGCGCGCTTGCTTTCACACTTTTGTGCCGATTCTGCACGAATGACCCCGTGATTCCGTGATCCAGCCTGCTAACAAATCCAACATCTGAGTCACTGTGACACTTGTGACGATGCCAATCGCACCGGGGATGTCCTGCAAGGAATCTGTGGACAGCTGCTCCTGCGGGAGTTGTAGGCCTCTTGCAGGCAACCCAGCCAGCACTGCAAACAAACGGGTCCACCTATGTATTCGGCAAGGAGGTCGCGCCTCTCGACGTCTGGCGCGCGCGTCCAAGATGTCAGCCACAGTGCCGTCACTCGGCACGCTGCTTGTGGGGCGGGTTCGAAACAAGGGTCCCCCGCCTGATCAGCAAGAGTGCTGGCCAAACGGTGCCATGCCGACTCTAGCGGTGCGAAAACCAGCCTGCTGAGCTTGATGGCTGTGCCATGGCTGCAATCGGCTGTTGCCACAACTTTGGTGGGTCACATTGGCAGTTCCTTTTCTGGCGAGTGAGCTGTGAGTGTCAACTTGCAAAACCGTAAGATGCAATGAGCTGCTGATGCACTGAACGATGCATGGCAAAAGCTCGTTCCTTTCGTTCCTCAATGCAATGCTTCTGCTTCAACCAGGGACCGGAAAAGAACCCTGCGGTGCACGCAACACAGTCTTAGGCAGAGGAAACAAGGGCAGAGGAAGAGGAGGAGGTTCACGCGCTGCCCCCGCTGACGCTGCTTGTAGATCCCTGATATGTCAGGAGCAAGCGCCCTTAAACTCCGAAAGCAAAGTCAAACCTGTAAAAAACAACTCCCGCAAGTCCAATAGCTTTCGTCGTGACATCGAAGCGACGCCTCCAGCTTCTCTTCGAGAAGACCAAGCAACCAACCCCGCTGAGCCTCAGAAGAAGCCCCGCTTCGCGCGGTGTTCGAACATGGCTTAGCATGAACAAGAGGGCACACCGAGTACCTCACGGGCTCCATGAACATGAGTGGTTCGTAGCTGCTCTTGGGTGGAGCAGCCGGTGCCACACCCTGACTACTGTGAGCTTGCCAGACATGCAAAGGGGACTTCTGGCTCTGGGTGGCCCATAGCACGTGCCTCTTTCTTCTTCTGGAGCAAATCTCCTTCTGACAAGCGGGCTCCACGCCCGCAAAGGCACCGAGGTCTTGAAAGCCGAGAGTCGAAGACTGCTCACCTCCTTCGCAAACAGCTTGTTCATCCTGCGGAACTCCCACTGAAACACCAAAAATGACAGAACCCCACATGACCGGACCATACCCCACCTCACCAATCTGTCATCTAGTCTCTTGTACCTGCGAGAACCGCTGCAAGGGCAGCAAAGAGCCGAGCCATTTCGGGCCAGCGCCAAGGGCGCACTCTGCTTTCATCATTTTGAGCTCGGCCAAGTCCGTCCCAATGAGGCCTGCAGATGGCATGCCACACGGCACTTCCACAAAGAGTCCCGGCGCACTCTGCCTTGGGCATGTCGCTCCAGGAGCTCCCGGCTCCTGGGCGATTCGCCAAAGGTGGCAAAGGTGACAAGAGGCTGTGCTGGGACCCTGGGACCGCTGCAGCTCAAGCTGCAAGAAGATCTCGTCCTCAGAGGCTTTGGAAAGAAACTCCCTCGCCAGAATCAGAAGCATGTCGCCCATGCAAGGCCCGAAGGAAGCAGCAATCTTTGCTTGCAAAAAAGGGGCCAGAATCTTGGACTTGGTCGAGCTGGAGAACTCACGCGCCTTTCAAACAACGAAGCTCAGCACGAGCTAAGCTGCGCGGAGCAGACTGAATCCATGGAAGCCTCGGGAAACATATCCTCCACGTGGCCCATAATCCTGCCTGGCATGTCTGCTGACGGTATGACGGCAGTTGCGTATCTGGTTGTGGCAAAGCCTGTGAGGAGCTGCAGTACGCTGGACGAAACGAGCAGGAGCTCCCAGCATCTTTCACCAGTGGGAAACGGCAGATACTGGAAGCCCTCGGAACCAGCAGCGGCATAAGCAGTTGTGGCGGCAACACATCGGTGCCCACCAAATCTTCCTAATTTGGTTAGACGGACAACTGTCTCTGCTCCGCAGCTGTCCTTCTTTCGAGGCTCGCTTTCCCGCGGTCGTCGCTGGAGAGAATGACTCAACGGCATGTTGAGTTTCGTGCCACCGAAAAGCATCTACGAGGGCTTTCTTCGGGCCCTCCCGAAATGATTGAGCCAGCATCATGAGCATCAGTAGGCTGTTCGTGGGGGCAGGAACGGTCGGCTTTAGCCGGAGACGGGTTCCACCACCCTGCCAGCTTTCGTCCAGCGATTTTTCTGTTATTTGTGGTCCACGATGAAGCGTGGGCTGGCGAAGGTGGCTCGCTTGGCTACTACTGGTAGATACCTGGTGCCGAGCAACTTGTCCAGCCTCACGAACGAGCATCAGGACTTTCTTGGGGCATCTGCGCCAGCATCATAGAGGCTTTTGGCAGGGTGTCGGTTTCGAGCAGGTACAGTATTCTGGGCAAACATGACTAGCGCGATCCAGCTTCATGAGCTCTGTCTTGGGGCGAGAGTGTGGGATTGAAGCATGGTAACTACATTGCTAACGTAGAGGGGGAAGGGGGAGGGGCGGAACTCTATGGGCCTAGAGTCCAGAGGGCAGCAACCAGCTTTCCAGCCCTCCATATACCACATGACACCGAGGGCCCGGAAATGACGCTCGCTCGCGTGCACGATGGTAGTTTGTGGTTTGCTTTCTGGCCCTTGCCCGACCCTGCTACAGCAAGAAGACTAGCTCCGCCAGCTTTTCCCACCAATGCCACCCCCGCCACCACCACCACCAACAACAACAACAAAAGCAGCAGCAGCAACAACAACAACAACAACAACAACAATAGTCGTAACCAAGCGCAGCTTACTGACGGCACACTAGCAACAACATCTCGGGGATGATAGTGCTCGCAAACATCACGTCTTGACCGGCAGCTCAAACCGGCAGGAAGTTCAGGCGCACGAGGAATGCTCGTCGGCAACATCCTGTAGCGCCTGAGACATCGTGGTAAATGAAGACTCTAAACCACCGCCAACCTCCAGGTGCCTGGCCTTCAATTTATTCACCCACTCGCCAGCAGTGCTGGCATTTACCTTGTGCAGTCACTTGTGCAGTCAACCCATTCTTGCAGCATCTCGCGCAGACATTGCTTTGTCGCATGCATTTGTGCATGCAACTTTGCAGATGCATGATTGCATTCCAACGCTTCGAGGTCGGCGACGGTTTGAGATGGCAGCATGCAAAAGAAGCAGTGACAATCTTGATCCGAGGCTTCGATAGGCACAGGGATTGTTCGTCGCGGGCTTTGAAGCGACGTGTGTTGCGAGCCGGCGGCTCTCAAGGGGTTTGTGACCAGGGCAAAGACCGTCTCTTCAAATGCTCGAAATTAATCGTCAATTCAGCTGCAAACCCGGTGGCCAGAATCTCGGCACCGGGCTGAAATCTCGACCTGATCCACCGTCGTCTGGACCTGCCGGAAGCGGCTATGCAAATTCTGATTCTTTCATCATCGTCATCATCATCGAGCCGTGTGATACGGACAGCAACGCATGAAACAGGACAGCGGGACGCCGGGTGCAGGAGGACTTGTGCCCTGTGGGCTCCGTAAAGAGTCTCGTGCAGAACTCCCTGAAGCTGGCCTTGCAGTATCTCAGCGGCAAACGGATCTAGACAGGACCCCTATGCTGCCTCCGTTCTGCACCAGCAACAGCTGGCAACTCTGCCTTGTCTTTCCTGCGAAGAATGCCCAGCTTTCACACACACTGGGAGGTACCGACACACAAAACAATTGGGGCTGCTGCTTCACATCGCTCATCCGAGGTGCCTGCGGGGATTTTGCTGCGCTTTCCCTCGCCTTTCCCAGGCCGTCCTTTGCCTTCCTCATGTCGCTTGGGGTCCCTTCCTGAGTCAGCACCATTTATTGGACAAGAAGACATCGAAAATGAACAAAGGCCGGCACCGAGCTGCTTGAGACTCCATGGCTTGCCGGGCTTTGGGGCGTGACCTTCTTCGTCAGCGACAGCGATACGGCAGAATTTCTTCTGGCAGCTAAGCTCGCAACGGGCTGCTCCGATGCATCTTGCTCTTGATAGCCCTCAGGGTTGATGCGGTCTCGTCTTGCTCTGAGCAGTGTTTTTTCTCACGAGATCTCTTTTCGCTTTGAAGAGAGTGGAAAGAACTGCCGGTTTGGAAAGCAAGAAATCCGCCAACACGGAAAGCACGAGCGCCGGAACTAACATGCAGTTGCATTAAACCAACAACAACTACTGTAATGTTGGATCGTAAACGGCTTCCAGCATGTTTCTTATTCCTTCTACGCTGGCAGGCCATCCCGTGCAAATCAATTGTTGAATTCATGAACAGTATGCTTGCCGGGAATTCTTAATGACGGTTGCACAGTGTTGTCCGAAGTCGACTGCTGCCCAGCTTTCAAAAATGCCCACTATAAAGTAGCAGCAGCGGCAGCCAAACTACGACAGGTGATACTGTACTGTACTGTACTGTACTATTTTACTACTGCTAGTATTCGTAGCCCACACACAAGAATGTACTGACCGTAATGTTGCCCTTTGCACATTTAGCCAACCGTGTACAGTTTGTGTCATCTGTCTCCTTCAAGGAAACTAAACTTTAATGATGTGTCGTGCTTGTCTCCGGAGGGGCTCAAAACAGCACCCGTCCTTATGTTCACGTGAGGTTCGCATGCCTGTCCTCATGTTCTACTGTGCTGTCTTCGATCCTTCTTTCGGTCATTACTGGTTCGTTTTGCTTCGTACCGTGCATGCACTTGCTCCTCCCCTGCCCGAGCAAGTCCGACAGAGTGCATGGAGAAAGCACGCTCCCATGCGGCGAGACCAAGCACTTTCCAACTGCGCACACAGCAAACCTCTTGACTGAGACGCGAACGCTGCGTACACTGTCGGCACTACTGCAGGCATCATCATCATCCTCCGCCTCACTCCCACTTCGCTTTGCTTGGTCAGTTTCGCCCTCTCCAAAAAATGTTCTGCTACTCGAATTGGCTTCTGCACGGTGCAAAACAGCACAGGGTGCGCCTTTCCCTGTCCTGATCCGACCAACCTCCGGTGCTCTGGGCTCCAGGTCTCCACTCGCAAGCGCCAGTCGGAGCAAATGTGAGATCGTGGCCAAACGGGCGGAGCTCGCTCGTTGAAGGACCCCGCTGTCCTGGCCGCAGATCGCAGCGGAGTGCCGACGGACTTGCGCGATTGCTCGGCCACGCCTCAGTGCCCTTTTGGGTACTTCGGCCCTTCGCCTCAGCAGAAAACACACCGACATCGATGTGAGGACGACGACTGCTGGGAAGGCGTTTCGAGTGTTGGGCGAGTGCTGAATTCGAAGCGGGATCAGAGCTGCCCCGATCGCAAGGTCTACAGTGGCATCTAACATTTGCAGCTTCGAGAGTGGGCCACGAAAGCTAGTTGGACCAGGGCTTAGGGCTACGGTGCGTGAGGGCTGTGTCTTCAGCGCACACCCCCGCAACTGGGAGCAGCAACTCCGCACTCTGCGGAGGTTTCCTCGGCCACCCTGCGCTTCGCAGTACTGGCAGTAGTGCCATAGTGCTAGCAACGAGCAGCAGTAGCAAAAGTAGTAGGACATAGTAGTACCCCTGCGACACGCGACCTAAAGGCCCTAGAATGTTTTCTCAGCCGGAAGCTCCTTTCCTACCGACAACTTCCGGAAGCTCTTGGAGAGCTAGCTTTCGTGATTCTCAGGCTTTCGGGTGTTGGTGACGAAACGGAGGAAGCCATTCCTTGAATGCACTTGATTTCCCCTTGTCACTTCAGGGACTGACCAGCATTACAACAGTCTTGGAGAAACTTTACAGCTCAAGGGCTGACAAGCAGAAATGACAGTTTGGCGCTCAAGCTGCGAGATGCCTTCTGCATGCTGACACGCTTAGTCCTGCTAACAGGATCTAGCATTTGCAGCACGCAGTGAAGTTGTGAAATCAACCTCAAAGCAGGGCCTCTAATCCATTCACGCAGAGTCATGGTCTCAAATTCTTCCGTGTTTCACAACTCTACTTCGTCAGGTCTTCGGCCTTTCACAAGCCCTTTTGGCATTTATCTTTTGTCAGCGCCTCTCTACTGCGTGGCTGGATCGTGCTCTAGCCGAACCTCGAAGTCCAAACCGATCCAGACTTAGGAGCCTGCGGCCTGCGTGCACTCGAAGCCGGGACAGGTGGGAAACAATCGCCGACTTGCAGCCCAGGTGCAACTGCGCCGCCTCATCTGATACTCCACCTGTCCTGCCAACACTGCCGACTTGGATGCAACACGAGACAATGTTCTGAAGAACATAAACCGGACCTGCATTGCTCCTGGTGGCATCGTATGCAAGGTATGGAATAATGGTGAAGGGACGCTAAGCACAATTATTGCGGTGATATCATGACATGCCAGCTTTGCCTTTGTATCACCTACCTCCGGCCCTAAGTGCAACGTCGGGATCATCTTGTCACAGCCGTTTCCCGCAGATTCTACTTACCAGCCAGGACCCGACCAAACAGCACAAGTTCATCACTCTGAGATCTCGTGGTCAGACGCCCAGACCCGAGCAGAGCTGCCTTGCTCTGGAAAGTGCAGGAGAAGCGGGTTTCATCCTGGCTCTGCGTTTGCATGCGATTGGAATGATAGCTATGTGAGACAAACCTCTACAGACACGCCGACATGAGGCCCACCCAAGAAACATGTCAGACGGAAAACAGGCCTGTAAACTCATCTTTGCATCATCGCCCAATCCACATGATGCCATGGAGATTGGCAACTCAATTTAATTATCTGTTGCCTTTCTGTGCAGCTGAGCTGGATTGGACTGCATGTTGTCCCGATGACTACAACAACATTCGCAGAATCCACAACAACCGCAGCCTGAGTGAAACATGTACTCATGAGCCAAGATGACGGAGAAGCGCATGAAAGTGCTGTGCTCTCACAGCTCCAGGAGAATGCCAGCTAGAATATCACAAATCAGAGTGCATAATATGCACTAACGGAAGATGGGCACTGCATCACTTTGGGCAGAAGGTTCTCGGCAGACCAACCTGCGATAGTGTGCATCAATGCTATACGAGTAGCTATCCTAGTCCGGAGGTCTCAGGATGTGGCGAACAAAGTGCTGCGTCTGCTCATCAGGATAGTCCCACATCCTCGTCACCACCACCACGGAGACGCAAACTGGCATCGTCGCCCCCGAAGCTTGGCAGCCGGACTGCTTGATAAGCATCATGCCATCCTTGCATCTCAAGGCGCATCGTGTGGAAGAGAGAAAATCATCTTGGGCCCGGTCTTCGCAGATCTTGTTCAGAGCATTGAAACTGCCCTTGTCAGGACAAGGCACGGCAAAGCCCATTTGGCGAAGTGAGCAACTTGGGATTGTGGCAGCGCCTCCACTATATGAGGATTCTGATCAGCGAGGCAGGTCGCCAGTTTGTCCAAAGTCTGCGCGAGGATCGGCTGCAAAGCCCCTCTAAACGCTGACTTCGAGTTGTCAAGTTCCTACTTGACGTGGACACGACTGCTAACTCCACGTTTTGGCACCCCACAGTGGCCTGTCGGCTGCCTACAAAACCGACCTTCAGGACAAGAATGGAGATGACCTGTGTAGAAGCACAGCGGATGCAGGTAGGTACCTTGCAAACTCGCCACATTGCCCAAGGAAAGCACTGTGCCAGCCGTGTGTCTGATGACCTGCAAGGGTTCAGAAAACATCCCTAAGGCAGGTTCAGGGCCTAAGGGTCTAATGCAAATGCTCTTTCGACGGCAGCTCGAACCTTGCTGCTGTCGCTCACAGCAGACAAGGTATGAGCCTGGCAGGCACAATCGAGGATGAAAGGACTTACCATGGCTCGCAGAACATCGCGCCTGAACATACTCCGCGATGGCTGGCTGTAGCCTGAAAGAGAAACTACACCCTGGTCACGTTTGACCTGGACTGTTGACAGCGTTTTCAGGCTCGGGCGTTCCAGGTTGAGCCCTCCCAAGGTTCGTTTTCAGCAGTAGTCCTGCTCGCTGTCGAACAACCTGAAAGGCAATCACGCTGAACAACCATCGCATTGGCTAAAAACACTGTGGGGCCTCGTCTTGGGAAGTCAACTTGGCAAAAACTGTTGCCAAGTACCTCAGCGCTTGAACTGCAAGCTCAGCAGTATGATCTCCGACCCTGTCATCGACGCTGGACACGCGGACAGCAGTGAATCTGCTGATGTTTGAGGGATGCGCATATCGAAATCTGGAAGCTGGCTAAACTGCGACAGCATCTGCATCACCTTCAACAGTCGGGTTTATGCTCGCTCGCGGCTCACAGCATTGCAGAAAGGAAACTTGACCTGCTGCTGGATGCTGTTGTCTGGAGAAGATGCCAGCCTTGTGCATAGCGGAGCCAGGTGTCGGTATGCTCGTTTCACTGTCCCGTCACTATCTGTCTCTGCCAAGCGCAGGGCTGGAAGAGCTGACATAGCTGGCCCAGTCTCGCCTGCAGCGCGGACTGTTCGCAGCATAGTGAAGACAAGTGCAACGGTAGGTTGCGATGCGCCTCATCCCCTTTCCAGTCCTCGGCTACCAGTCGCCACTGCTTGCACTTTGCATGACTTGCGACACCGCCTGTCACTCAGCTAGTGCAGTGCTTCCAAGATGCCATGAGGGCAGTGGTCGCCCACCTAGGCCTATCCAAACAGCCGTTCAGGTTCTAGCGCTAGCTCTGAAGCCCTTCTTCAGGCTCTGGCGCTGCCGAGCTGCAAGCATAGCAACAAAATTGCGCTTGGAATACAGCCGCGGCATTTCATTTAACTCGTACTTGGTCTTCCGCTGAGCCGCTTGCTGTAGGAAAGGGGAAAAGGCAAGATTGCAACGCAGGGATGAGTGCTCGACTTAGGATTTGAACCTCGCGCGTTGCATCGAAGGCTCTGGGGCAAAGGATCCCTAGCGCCACGAGAGCGGCTCCCCACCAACTTCGTTGATGCGACCGGATCCTCAATTTCCTCAATGCCGACCAAGGGAGGACAACAGAACAACAGTCTGCATCTGAATTATGCCATCAGGGTCCAGGGATGCCCAGGAGCATTAGAGATTGACGAGTCCCTCGGCCGTCGTGAGTGCGATGCTGCGTGGTTGGGCCCGTCGGACGTGCATGTAATGTGCACACGCAGAGTGGTGACACCGAGGGCTTGCCTCGCACAGATGTCAGAACATCCGTGCTGCTCACTTTGCCCACTGTGCTGCCTGCGCTTGAGACTTGGCCATGTGCTCTGGAGCATCAGCGGTTTGGCATCACTTGCCACAAGACAAGCAGAGCAGCACAACCTTTGCAATCTTGATGTCAGACAGCGGGTCATCCTGGCAGAAGGACAGAAGATCATGTCAGTTTTCTGGAACCCTAAACTGCATGAAGGTCCTGCTCCACGTTGATCACTCCGTTGGTTTTCAGCACCTCGTCCGGACAGAGAGAGAGCTTCGAGGCGCTTGAGCTCTGCTCGCAATAGGTGCAATACGTAGTACCTTCTGGCTGGCGAGGTTATCTTGCCAACAATGCCGTGATTCTGGCTGCCCAACCAACATCTGTGTACATCAGTGTGTGCAGCGGAAGTAGCCGCGGTACAGTCGAGGTCCAGGCCAGCAGCTCGAAGAAGCATCCAGCAATGAGTTCTCTGCGCCCTTGAGTTTGAGACCTGCCAGACTTTCAGTGATTGAATAGCAGTGAGGGCCTGGTACACCTATGCTGCCAGTCTGAATACACAACTGCGAGCTCAGCTCCTTCCTCCAGCCATCGCGAGCCTGCAAAGGTCCTCGTAGGAAAGGTCCGGTCTGCCAGCGTCTCGGAACTCCTGGTCCCCGTCGCTAGCAAGCTGGTGAGCGCTCTACGAAAGGAGTCACCAAATGAGAGAAGCCTTTCTGCAATATAAATGATTACAAACACAAGCTCCCTGGCAAGAAAGCGGTGCATCTTCTCAGTGCGGCCGCTGTACCTTGCCAGGGTGACACCCTCACCTCAACAACCAAGCTTGAGTACGCTTGAGTCCGCGTGCCCGATCCGCGCTGTCGGATTGCCCGATTGATCCTCGTCATCTTGGTTGCCCGTCCTTGGCTAGAGACACATGGATGTTGAACCACCAAGATGCGCCATAAGGGCCTGTGCCCCTGACACAACGGCGTTCATGGATCCAGGGGCATTCTCTAGGAGCAAGGTCTCCGTCTGAACAGCGAGACGGGCTCTTCTTACCGGGCACGGCTTTAGCTGTGGCTTTGCCAGAACTTGGGACTCTTTCTGGTGAATACCGAAGCATGAAAGGAGACGACTTCAAAAGCAGCATCAGCAAAAGAGGGCGCACCACGAGAGGTGTCTCTGGTGAGAAGCCGGGACTCCTGCAGCTGGGCCAAGGCCAATGTGCTCCCACATGCTCCCATCTGGGGAAGCTATGACTGTTGCAAACATGGCGGCACCTTCCTTACTAGCGAGGACTGCCTTTTCTTGATCGGGCGCATTGTCAAAAGCTTCCATGGATCGGAGAATATTAGCTTGGCAGACGCTCTTGTGGCTCAATCCCAAAGCTTTATGGCACCGTCCCAGCCGCAAGAAACGACGCGCGAAGTCCTCAAGCACAGAGGCTGTGCACCCTACTTCGGACCTATTGCAATCGATCTGTCGACAAGCACGAACTGCAAGAGTTGGTCGGCTGGGCTTCAGACTGTATGGGGTGCCTTGGCTCCGTGCATGAATTTCAATATCATGTCTCACATTCCTGATGTGGTGTGCGACAGAATGTGGCGGCATGCTGACGGTCGTGGGCATACCATACTTAAAGTAACTTATGATTGGAACAACGAATGCCACGTCTCTTTGAGAAAACGACTGCTGTCCAGGTCATATGTGCCTAATGCACTTCAAAAGACAGTTAGACAGGCATCCTGACGCCTGGGGACTGAGTTTTTCCTCACTCGGCTCAAGCAGAGGGCTGTGAGAGAAAGCCACTGCTGAGGATGTGGACAGGGGCAAGCTATCGTGGAGAGTGTGCGGGATGTAAAATCGCCTGAGATCAGTACCAAAGGCAGCCAGTGCAGACTCCGTCATGAGCTTTGAGAACCCGATAGTTCTTGCACTTGCCCCAGTCCCAGAACCTGATGCAGTAACGGATACGGCGCACTGCCAACACGATACAGAGTCTAAGCTAGCGACCACAGCTTGCCATCCGCATCTCCAGACATGACCCACTTGCCGTCTGCTGACCAACCTGGCCTCAAAATCAGCGCTTGATCCGATGCAGGCTGTCGGACACCAGCCGGGGTGCAGCGCTTCGTGTTGTGACACGATTCTGTGTGCGCGATGTTGGACTTTGGCTTCCGGTTTCACGTCAATTCAACGTTTCTCTTCGGCTCTTTGGTGGCGGGCAGGCATTTTGAAGCATCCCTGCAGGGAGGCGGGGTATTTCCAGGGCTGTAGGCCCATAGTAACCGAATGGCCTTTGTCCAACATCTCCTATTAGGGTTTTGAAATTTCGGGCTTCCCACCATAGGTCTCCTGGTCTCTCCAAGCCCATTGTGCGGTTCCGGTTGCGAGAAACACCTTCTCCGCCTCCCGGACAATGTGCTGTCGACGTTCAATTGGAGGTGGTGTGGCCTACCCCATGGACCATGCCGTTTAAACTTCCGGCATGCTTATAACATGACGCAACATGGCGGCTGAGGCTTGAAACTTACCTCAGGATGGGCTCTGCTTGTATGAAACTGTGACTGATTGCAGATGGTTAGGGGTTCGAGGCGCATCCGAAAATCGTGCACGCTGCAGAAGCACGGCGCGACCGTATCTTTGTGCATTGATATCCAACGAACATAATCTTACGGTAAAGCCTGTTTCTTGGCGCTAACGGCAGCATATGGGTGGCAACCCTTCTTACACCTAATGCCGATGACTACTCAATTACACGCTATTTGTATGATTATTTGTATGATTGTGCATGAGTGCATTGAATCACCTGTACATGTCAGGTAAGAGGGCACCGTTGCTCCTCACGGCATGAGGCCCCTTGGCGACTTCAGGGACTACTGCTCTGTCGAGCACCCCGCAAATTACTTGGCTCTACACGGGTGTGGCTCACACCACCATTCTGGCGAGCGGTGCGACCACTGCCGCCAAAAAGCATCAGCTCCAGCATCATCGCCGTGATTGTGATGATCATCAATCATCACGATCGTCGTTGTCATCAGGCTCATACCGCGATCATGATCGTCAGAAGGACAGAAAAGGACAGACGATGGAAACGCACAATGCACGGAAGAAGAAATATGGCTGACTCAGTTGGGACCCCGGCGTGATGGCATAGCCAGAGTTGAGGTGGCCCTGCCGGTCTTTCCAAGACACAGGAGTCAATCACTGTAGCCCAGCCAAGGCATGCCGATGGCATCAAATGGAGCCAGGCCCCAGGCCCTGAACGTTTTTCGTGCTATGAACTTGAAGCGTCCGAACGCCTGGTTGAGACTGTACCAACATTCTGGGTATCCTCAAAGAGGAGACACACACACACACAACTCACAAGCCTCGTAAGCTATGATCTTGTTGTCCATGGATTGCCCTATCAAGTACTTTTCGTCCGGGCTGAGGACGATCTGCATCCAGGGTCATACAGTGACATGAAATCCGTTGATCTTTGTCCCAATTCGACGTGCATGCCTGAGGGATTGAGTGCATGGTCGGCTCAGCCTCACATCACAGCTTTGCTCGTTCATTCACGAAACATCACGAAACATGCGGTGTCTGTATGCTGCTGTGTTCAGCCGCTCACTATGTGCTTGACGACGACCGGAATGCCGAATTCCCAGAGGAACATCCTGTCAAACAACTTGACTGCAAACGCACGCTTGTGCTTTTGCATTTTAAAGTCAGCAAGTCTACGTCCCCAATCTGGTATGGCAGGACGTAACTCAGACAGTGGCTTCTTATCATCCGAAGAAGTGAGCAATCCTGACAGGACTTTAGCGACGGAGGCTGTCTTGCTGGTTTGTAGCAGCTTAGTGTCTACGACAGCTAAGGCATCTGCGCTTTCCATCTTCGCAAATTGTCGCCGTGTTGACAGCGCCCATGTGTTCATCGTACTCCTCCCACGCAGCAGCCCTTCAGCGCAACGACAACATGTAGAGCAGAGCATTCACACGCTGTCCTGCACAATTGTGCAAGTGTTGGAGTCCCACTGCACTGCCTGCCCGTCTATGCAAACACTGCGTCAGCCCAAGCGAAGCATCACGAGTAGAAGCCTTCTTGTTGGAGCATCCCGTGACAATGACATTCTGCTGGGAAGGGTCTGGGTGAACGGATACCTCGGCAGCGATGCATGAAACAACACAACAGAGAGCCTGGCGGCCTAGCCCGAGGCTGGCACACAAAACGGTGTTTTCTTGTTGGTGAAGGTGGAAATGATTTGGCCAGTTTCAGTGTCCCAGTACCTCAGCACTTCGACGGTCGATTCGTCTCCGGCGGCAGTGACAAGCACAAGCTGTGGCGAGGACTGGATGTTTTTGTCATAAGCGACGCTATAGAACCGACGACCATCCTCTTGGTAGCAGCTTGCGCTGCAGACTCCGTGCGGATGTCAGTGAGGCCCCTGCAGCCGTGAAGGCGATGTCCCTAACAGCTTGATCGTGTCCGAAGTATGTTCGAAGGCACCTCTGAGCAAAGGGAGAAATAGAATATAGAATCACATGTGGCGCTCCTCTCGGCTGGGGCTCGTTTTTCGGCCGAGGGGCTTCCGCTGGTTGTGATAGTCCCAGATCATGATCTTAGCATCCATGCCGGCTGACAGGAGAAGATGCGCTGTCTTCGGGAACCTGAGTTCAATCTCCACTCGTCTCCACTCGTCACTGTGTTTGGCGCCACATTCGCTGAGACAGCGGCCACCGGATCTTCTGCACGCCCATCGTGTGTCCAGTCCTGGGGAGTTGCTGCCGGTGGTTCCGATCAACGAATGATGGCGCCTTCCATCCTAGCATCCCTACTTTCTCTTAGCCTCGTAGGCGCTAGAGTGAAGGAGGTGTGGTTCTCTGCTGCACGCCAAGGCAGGCACCAAGTGTGTACCCACTTCTTGGGCAGGAAGCACCTGGACTTACACATTCGGGATTGCATGGATTTCCCGTTCAACACTGGTAGTCCCTGCTCGGCTGCACAACTAAGGTTTCAACTGCTTGTCATCAACATCTTTGGTGATGTTGGTCTGGGCCGGTAAGGCGTGCCACGGATGCATGCAAAGCAACCTGTAAAGATTGCCTGCAGCGTTTCATGCGCACCTTGTTCTCAATCCAAGAGCGGCCGGCATAGTCGGTCTCCTGCCATCTAGCTGCTTCAGCAACTCTGTTTGACATGGCGTCAAAGGAAGACTAGCCTCACGAGACCAGGACAGAGGCATCGCCGTCCCTGTGAGACTGGGAGCCTGGCCTTGTTGCCATGGAAGACGGAGGTGATCCGTTCCTTCGTTTCCCTCTCTTCACCTGGGGTGACGATACTCTTTCAGCGTCGTTTTGGGCTACTGGCCTACTGGACACAGGCCTTCAACGGCCCTCTCCTCCTCTGCTTTCCTGGCGACCTCCTCTTCTCTCGCCTGTCAATTTTCAGTTTTCCTGCTGTGCCAAAGCCAAGACACAATTGCCTTCACTTCGACTTCCAACTGCTTTCTCACGACATCGCTATCGATGAAGCCCCCCCACCTGCAGCTCAGAAATCTGTGTTGGAAGCACAGCTGAAGTTGCTGCTGGGATAGTGGCTTGGCGGATTCAGCATGCCCCTGGAACGTCACATGTCGGCAATTTGCCAAGAGGTGCAGATCCCCCACCCCCCCGTCCATGTTCCTCGCCTTACCGGGTCTATCGTCATCCTCGCGTAAAGGAAATTGGACAGCACAATTCTGCAAACAGCCTCCGCTCTGAGCTCCGCGCCGGCATGTCCGGGCCTTCCAAACGCTGCCTGCGACTCATCTGACAAATCCGATCGGCGTGCACAGTGCAGGTTCTCTCTCTCTCTTTTCGCATCTCTCCAATCTCGGCCTTTTGCGGGGCTTGTCCCAAATACCACGACCTTCTTGGAAGTCGGCTTCCGTGCTGACCTGTTGCTGAGTTGCGACGGTCGCACCACATGTCATCAAACCGTGTATTCGGCGGCAGTCAACGAGACACAAGCGGTGTTTCCATAAACATGCCGTCGGGACCACCATTTCTTCTCCCTCTGGAATGTTCTTGCAAGGGTTCGCAGCGTACCCGAAGTTATGGAAGGTGAGATACCTGAGAACTTGCGAGTCGAGTGTCTGCTCCCAAGTTTCTGCCGACACCACGGAGGACAACGACCCGGGCGGTTGATGGAACAGCAAACAGAAGAAGAGTCTGGGCTCCTTGCTGCTGATCGAAGGCAAACTTGCCTCGGCATAGGTCACCAAGTAGGAGCACAAAGAAAATTGCAGGACAGCAACAGCGAAAGAAGAAAGACCTAAAGATCCCTTCTTTCCAGGCCGGATGCTCATAGCTGCCTTCTCGACTCGGCCCATCTTGTGATTGTTGAAGTCTTGCTCGAGGCTACACCTCTAAATCTGCGGGGGCATCTCTTTCTCTAACAGATCTGACCCCGGGCCTTCCCTCCTCGAGTGGCCCTTGCAGAGGCTTGCTCAATGCCTATCAGAGCAACCACTGAATACCATCGAGCACTCATGCCATCCTTGCTCGGGATGCCGCTGTTATGGTTGGATTCGTCAGGATCCGCTTGTCGGCGGTGTTGTAGGCCCACTCCGTGACCTGTACGACGAGCAAGGGCACGACGAGGGCCACCACAGGATCGCCAATGTCATATCTCAAAGTTCACTGGCAAATGCGGGCTGCCGATACAGCAGTAAAGCTGTCACGTGCACATGTGGCGGACTGAATCAAAGAACGCTTCCGACTAAATGAGAAAGAAAAACTCGAAGTAGTAAGCCAATTGTGGAAGCAGTGACGGATCTGCAAATAGTCAAACGGGGTGGACCAAGAAGATTGCCCGAGAAATCATGGTTTGGCTTGCACTTCACCAGAGGGAGCACTTATATCCTACACGGGCGGGCCAAAGCTCCCTTGCGCCAGGGCCCTCACTGCGCCCAAGGCGAGGGTGTCGACGTCAGGCGCTGCATCCACAGACGGCCTGGGATCACCCACGAACTGAGTCGCGACGGGAAGGTATGAGGAAGGCTTAGAATCCCATGAAGAGATGTGAGTCTGAGGTACCGGCAGCAGTGCAAGATCAACCTCCCAAAATGAGACTGAGACTCTGATAACCCCCTACGTTGCCGGCCCTTCAGGGAGGCACTGGGCACCAGACACCAGCGATGGGCTTACGCGAGACTGCCTTCGGAGCCGCTCCGGTTGGCCTGGGCTCAGCGGCTCTCCTTACAGATGTCCACACGCCCACAGGCCACAGGCTATGTCTCCTTTGCCCTCAGAACGGCGCAGCACGCCAGCGGCCTTGGCCTTCGCTTTGGCCTCCTGCACTTCCGAGGAAACGTGGTGGTATAGGGGAAGCATCTAAGGATAACGACTGCCGATCCTCCCCCTCGCTGTCGCTGTACTGCGCGAGGAGGTCCATGCGTATCACCTCCGATGCATTGCTCTTGCAAGCGCATGTCAGTGTGCAAGACATTGTGATTTGTTGCCTGTCCCGGTGGAAGGCCCTTAGCAGTGCTGACAGCAGGGAAAGTCGAAACGAGCAACCCCACTGGACATGCCAAATCACGCCAAGGACGCCACCGCGGGCCAGGCCCCTAGACCGCAGGTGCTTTGACAGGTAGCATGGATTTGAGCTGCTGAAAGCTGCGGAACATGAAGGTCAGTTTGGTCTTCAAACATATTTGAGCAACAAGGTAACAAGGCTGCTAGTGGTGCAAGTACGAGCTACGAGTACCACTCCTCAGGCCCGCTTTGTCGGGGCTGAGCACTGGCCCAAGCCTTGTCAAATCATCCACATGTAGCCAAATCGGGAGAAGTGTCGTGCAGGCGAGCGGCAACGGTGCAAGCGAGTTCGGCTTGTCAGCAGTCTGGCAACAATCAGTGGAGCTGGCATTGAAATGACGAAGCCTGTCTTGTTAATATGAGCTGAAAAGGCGAAGGGTCATAGCATCATACCCCACTGCCTTCTGCTTCACGTACAGGCTGAGATTATTGCGCTGCTCCTCGGTCAGGATGCTGACCTCCTGAGAAATGCGACCAGGGCCAGAGACAGTCGAGAGCGCCAAAACGCGGCGCCTCGGGCAATTGTGCGGGCTCTGATGGACCCGCGCCGCCTGCGCCTGTGAAGACACCTGCAGCCTGGCAGATGGCAGGGTCTCCCATGGTGTGCCGGGAGCTGAGAGGCTCTGCCACGTCTGCCCACTGCCGTGGCCTCGAAGACGCGGTCCGGCTCGGCGTCTTTGGTTAGTCGCCGCCGCTTTTCTGCAACCTCTTGCATGGGCCCGGGCGACGCACGACGGTGAAGGCTTCAACGCGACGCTGCCTCCGAGCCCCACAGAATACCTTCACACCTCGGAGGGATGCAAGGTTCCACGCTGGGGCTCTGCCAACGCTTCGTGGATTTTTAGCAGGCAGATATATCAGATATGTGAGGTTTTGGCAAGTACAACGGGTTGACAGTGTCTTTGCCACAGACATCTTTCGGCACCAGCCGTCCCTCCCTCGGAACAGGCGCACGCGACTACCCACGGAGCCGAACCGAACACGCAACAACCAAAACTACTCAAAGAACCGAAGTCCACCGTTGCTGCATGACGAAACGAACTAGACTGTACCGAGGCAGCGACAATGTCTTGCACATGTCTGTGAAGGTAGTCGTGAAGTTAGGCCTGAGCGACTTGATCAATAACTCACATGGCAAAGCTCTTCCGAAATGACTGGAGCATGCACAGATGTGGCGAGTAGTGTGGGAGCATCAGGTGATAGTCGAGGTCTCCCTTGCGCGTGATCTTGTCCCGGTCATTCATGTACCTTACGTCTCAAGATGGATTTGCGGACAGCTCTCAAGCAACCCTCGCAACCAAGCTCGGCACCCTCTGTAGGTTTCTTTGGGGATCTCCGGCAGCTCCTAAGACGTGGTGGCGGCCGTGGTTGTGTGGTGTCATGCTGCGGGTGTCGGCGTCGTCGATGCTGCTTCAGCTGCTGCACAAGATGTCCATCTGAGCGGTACAGCAATCAGTGTGATGATGATGATGATGATGATGGTGATGAAGATGACGTTGACGATGGCAGTGCTGCTGGTGCGTCGGCAACGATGCCTGTGATGATCGTCTGGCTGCTGAGGCCGACACCGTGAAGGGGAGGATGATTATGATTCTGATGATGATGATGATGATGATTGGCGATGGTAATTCTTATGATGCCAGCTTCGACATCTTGTCAGAAGATGCGCGCACACACACGTCGCAGCATTTCTGGGTCATCAGACATGTCACTGAACATGCTCCAGTGCTTTGTCCAAGTCACGTCTGCAACGAACTGTGTGCGCCGCTTCTTTCGTACCTAGCTCTGCAGCAGCAGTCAGTGGGAGTCAATGTCACTAGTCATAGATAAGCACGACAAAGCGACTGAGCCATCGCCGTCCGCGGGCCTCCGAGCAACGAGCAAACTTGAATTGGTGCCAAGTCAGAGTTTCAGCCAAGTTAGAGTGCCTTTCGAAAGGTGCCAAAGTCCCGTCGAAGTAGGCATGAGATACCGGCATGGCCTGAATAGTCCGGAGCCCGAGTGCAACGATGGTCGATAGGGAAGGAACATCAAGAGAGAGAGAGAGAGAGAGAGAGAGAGACAGACAGAGAGAGAGAGAGAGAAGGGGAGCGAGACTAGTGGCTAGAATCTGCCGCGCTCCGAAATGTATAGGACCAAGGACCTGGCATCTCCAGCATATCCACCGTATCCGGCATCCCCGGGATCCCCAGCCACTGCCAGCGAGTCGGGCGCCTGTCGTTCTCGCACGCAGAGACACGGCAGTTCCTAGTAGCCTAGCACTCAACATGCAGAAACGCAGATTTAGTAGGCCTGATCCAGCAGGGTTTGAATTTCTTCTCGCCTGAACTGCGCAGAGTGCTTGATCAACGAGCCGTCGATGTCGCAGTGGGCAAAATTGCAAAGGGCCCCGCCGTTGAGCTTGAAAGAAGCCAAGCACAGCTTGCTGCTCCTGACCCGCTACACCTCTGGACATTCCCCACGATTCCAGACGTGAGTGCATCCTCTTCACCCAGCATGATCAGCTGCCTTGCCTGGGTCACTTATGGGCTTATGGCTGCACATCCAGCCATCTCTCTTGCTGAGGCACGCTCCACTGCCAGGTTTGACAACGGTACGAGCTGTACTGCCGCCTGTATGCAACTGTGATCGGACAAGACATCGCATGGCTGGTCCCGATGTCAGCAGTGTCCCTTTACTTTGGTCTGCGGCAGCCTATTGCAAGAGCTGCTCTTCCATCACTTGCTAGTACAAATACTTGCTCTCTTTTAAAACCTTCCTCTCGGGGAAGCCTCGGGACCACAAAATCTGTGGCTAAAGTCGACCCACCTGCCCGGCCACTTGGTTGAGGTCTTCCATATCGATGACCTCTTCCTCCGAAGGCAAATTCAAAATGCTTGGTTGATGTACGGTATGCATGCAAGACCAATTAATGCAGTCGCTTGCGGAGCTTTCCTGTGCATACGGCACTGGTGATGTTGATGTTTCGGCTGCAGCAGGAGCAGCAGGTGCCTGTCGCAAGGGCTACACAAATCACAACAACCTCGTAGAACAAGCTGAAGCCTATTCAACACTGCAAGATCCCTGCGAAGTGCGGGGGCGCTGTAGGTGCTGCACGAGCTGCTGATGTTTGCTTGCTTTTCACACAATGATTCGAACAAGCATGGCCTCATCTTCGAGCGCAAGCTCCATGTCCAAAGGCATCACGTCTTCACCTGAACGCTTGCTGCCACTTACTGTTGGTTGAGGGAAAGCGCGGTTGCTAGATCTATCTCGCTGGAGACATTCCTCTTTCCAGCTCCGACGCGATGAAAGAATCGGGTCACTGGATGCATTCATCAGGACGTAGATGGAACGTTTGGCACCCACGAGCGCAGGCAGGCGCAGCAGGTGCCATTTCCCTGTACATCCGCTCATTCCGCAGGCTTCGGGTCCGTCGCGCACACGATAGCCGATAGCACTGCAGCGGTGCCGTGACCGCCGTGAGGCCCTAAAGCTGCAAGCCGTTGCAAGCTTCACTCCAGACTGTCCAAGCCCAAGTCGCCGACCTTCGCCAGATTTGAGAAACCCTGACTGGCGCGCGGCTCAATAGTCATTGCTGAGCTGCAGGCTCCGTTGCGACCGGGAGGTGTGTGCTCCTTCTTCATGGTGTCCTCTGTTGGGGATGTTCTGCATACTCTCTTTACTTCCACATCCAACGTGCTGTTCAGGCACATGCATCGCATGAGGGGTATCGACAGTCCTTTGAAATCTTTTCAAGCGCCGCTTCTTTCGATGACAGAAAGAACAGCATCCCTTTCTTGACATACACCTTACAGCCAGTAGCCATCAGCAGCTGCATCCGACACATAGTAAGCTGCAGGCAAGACCTTGCGACCCGTCTTCAGATTCTCCAGCTCGTACTTGGCGACATCTGTGGATGCCTCAGCAAGCTTTCTGGTGCTCCTGGCATGGGCAGCTGGCAGCAACGGCATCTTGGGAACTGGCGTTGCGACTGGCCGGAGTGACATCCTCAGCATTGTGAGTGCGACCACCCGCGGGACAAAGTTGTGAAAGCTTGGGGACCCGCTTCTATGAGTCTCGGCTGCGACTCCGGAGGGTGGAAGCTCCGTGGCTGCGTCGGCGTGTGCATGCGTGCGCCGTGCGCATGTGTTGCCGGATTTTTCCAGACGACGTCGTTGCGCGTTTGCTGTGGTAGTAATTATGTATAGACTCCAAGACGACATGTTGTGTACTGGAATTGGCCCTTCGAGCTGCGAGCAAGGCATTGCAGCATTCCAGTATAGCGTGACTGTGCGAAGCCGCGCAAGCGCTAAGCCAGCCTTCGGCAGGCTCTTCCGGTTCAGCGGCGGCCTCCCAGCAGACGTCCGATCACGGACTAAGCTCAGAAGTCAAGGCCATGCCTTCGGCTGATCTGAAAGCGCGACCAGCGGAAGGGTGTCGAAGTCGTGATCTAAGCACCGGACTTCCACCAGCAGCTGCCATAGGCCGCAGTTAGAGTTTGCGAGACTTTGGGCTGCCGACGCTCGCCTGTCGCCGCCGACTCGAGCTCCTCTCGTCGCGATATGTCGCGAAATCGCTCCGAGGCGCTTCTGTTTTGCACTTTCTGTTCCCATCGGAACGGTCCTCGAAGGCACCCTTCGGAACAACTTTTCTGCGAACCGCCCGCATGACTTCCTTGCACCGCCAGCGAGCCGCGAAAGTCGTTGCAGCACAAACCCTGGCCTGGAGCTCCGTTTGGGAGAGTGCACCAAAGAGATCATCACTGGCCACGATGGACCTAAGCAAGCTGTAGCTGAATCATGGGGACACAGCTACACACCTCCGAAGCACAGCGAAAGTATACGTACACACACACACAAAAACAAGTTGCAAGCAAACACACTGGAACAAATACGGCGCCCACACCTACACCGACACACACACACACAAACAGACGGACGGACGGAGAGACAGACAGAAACAAACACAACCAGGCAGGCAGGCAGGATGCAGGCAGGCAGACAGAGACTGACAGTGACAGGCAAACAGAGAGACACAGAGAGCGAGACAGAGACAGACAGACGGAGAATGACGGAGAAAGATAGAGGCAGAGGCAGAGAAAGAGACAGACAGAAAGAGAATAACGGAGAATAACAGAGACAGACGAACACAGACAGACAAACGGAGACAGACGGGCTGAAACAGACCAACAGAGACAGGCAGAGAGAGACAGAGAGAGAGATAGAGAGACAGAGAGAGACAGAGACCGAGACGGTGTGCCCCGTTGAGAAGCAATGTCTTCATTCTCGGCAATGTGCCAGCGACCACACCCTTAAATCTAAAACAGAAATACCCAAACCAACAACACTTCGCAAGCTCATGCACCCAAGGGAGGCCATGGACCATTGTATCTGAGCTCAGAGCCCTGCGTCCTCCTTGCCTTGGTTTTTGAGTGTGATGTCCTCATATCAAGGGCTTGTAGCGAAGAGAAGCGGGCTCGCAGCACTCTGGTCGGACTCTAACCGGATGAGAGGGTGTTTTTGTGACCGTCCTCTAAGCGCGCGATGTGCTTCTTGCCTCCCAGCAGGGCCTTCAAGATGCGGGCTTGAAAGGAAGCTCTCTGTTTCGTGTCTTCAGCCTGGTCGTCCGCAAGAATGGGCGTCAAGGCACCTGGCCGCACCTCGCTTGAGTTTACTACGACCTTCTTTAGTGAGGCGAGAGGCAGAGTGGGACTCCGGCCTCGCGGATGCGGCCGGAAATCTCAACCTCATCGAGTCGTCGAGATTTCCCACACCACTCTTTCAGTGACTCGTGCCGGAGGCCTCCGGCTCTTCTGTCGGCCGGCTGAATCTAGGCATCCGGATCTTCTCTTACTCTAGTCTACACGTCCGAGTCTGTGCCACACTCAACAACGAGCCGGAGCCACGCCATCATGAGTCCAGCACGGACCTCATCTGCCTCCTCCTGAACAAAGATTGACAAACTCATACACACTCATTATAGCAGTGCGCGAACGCGGAGCAGAGGCTTCGTGAGCCTCCAGGAAAGCGCTCTGTTTGCAGTAGATCTTGCAGGCGCCCACCAGTAGGTGCCCGGTAGCTCGCAAGGAGACCAGCGACCGTTTTGCCGAGATACTGACAGGGGAGGGCACCAAGTGGCTGCAGGACAGTCCAAAAGAGCGTAGGCTTCAATTAGGGCCCAGTCGTAGCAAGCAAGCTGCGAAGGTCGATCTCCTGGTAGTCCTGCATGCACGAACAGGCCGACTGCTTTGTTGCCTGTTAAAGAAACTCGCGCAACCTATCTGGGCTGGTCTGGGCCGGCACATTCTGAGCGGGTCTGCTTTTCTGGCAACAGCAGCACACAACCATCTCGAGCGTTCACAATCGTCCTTCTGCGCCAGAAACTTGCTGCGTGATACTTCGAGATAAAGCACAGACGTGCTCTCAGCCTATTGACGTGCGGAGCTCACTTCTTGCCAGACGTGCGGGCCTTGCTCTTGTCCTTGCCACGAGCCTCATGTCGCAGCCCAGCCACATCAATCGCTTATTCACACATGAAAGAAGACAGAAGAGCATGGGACCTTCTTCATTCGGTTCTTGGTGTCCTTCTTTCCACGGCGGCCTCGCAACACAGCACACCCGGGTTCTGCTTGCATCAGGATTCCCCTGGCGCACCTGCACCCGTCTTCTCACCACCGACACCGGCCTAGCTGAGAAGGAGCACAATATTGCATGTTGTCTTTGAGGCTTCAGGCCGAGATCCATGACCGGTTCCGATGTGCACTGCCATTGAGCATCGTGCACGCTTGAGCCTGTACTTCGGCTCGAACTTCTTCATCTTGTCGAGGCTCTCGTAGATGAGACCTCCGATGCAGTCCAAGCTTCGCTCCAGCCCGCCACATGCAAAGGTGGTGGATTTTCTTTATTTATCATCCGCTGACACGCCAAGCTCTCGGCCAAAACCAGTGCTTCGACCACCACCGAAGGCCGTCTTGAAGCTGAACAGCTGGATGCAGGCGGTGTCTTTCACTTTGTACCTGCCCCCCAACCCTAGACACAAGTCATCCCGTACCTACATGCTGTAGTGCCGCATGGCTGCAATGAGCTCGTCACTTCTCTCTAGCTGTCTAGTGGTGATGTCATAGCGAACGCGTGGGCACATTTTCGCCAACTTTTCTGTGAGGTCCTTCTTTGACACCTTGCTACGAATGGCTTGGCGGAGCTGGTTGTGGCAAGGCAACGCGTGTCTATGCACCGATAAGAAGCCGGCATTCGCCATGCTGGGATGGATGACATCCAGCACAAACTGCTTCCTTCCAAGTGCTCTCTGCGTCATCGGATGGAACCCCGGCTTTGGAGTGTCTGGCATTGTCGGGGCTTACTGAGGGACTCACCGGGCCAGCAGCGGGTTGGTCTGAAACCTCACAAGCATCTCTGGCTCTGCAGCCTCGACAAGGCTATAGATGCAGCTGAGGTCAAAACTTGCGCGTTCGGATGGTGAACTCAGACATGGTCGGCAACTGGGGGCTGAAATGCTGTGTCCGTTGACTGCTGCCTGCCTGACCTGTTTGGAGCCGAAATGCCAAGTGCCGACATAATCCGACATAGCTACAACCACATTATCAACATGTTGTGGAACAGCAATCACGGCAAAATCAGCAAAGTCGGCAGTGAGATTCCTTCCAGCCCACGCGATGGGCCCTGAGTCCCAGCGTCCCTGTCCTGCTTCTTGAGCTTCCGCTCCCAGTGTGCTGCCAGCCAGACCTCATCAAGAAGCTTGTCGAAAAGGACACCGTTCAGCACCGTCTCCAGCCTTTCCCCAGATTCCATTTGGTGCAATGAGCTTTGCAAGCTCCATGAATTAACGTTGCATCGAATGCTGCTTGCTGGAGCCTCGATCCTGACCGTGGCAGGCGGTTTGTAGCTTTCTGCGCACTCTCTGATCAAACAGGTTTTAAGCGAGTTGATCGGGTCGGTGCAACTGCGGTCATTCCGCCATGATGTCAACTATCAGAAGCTGTAGCCATGCACACAAGGAATGAAACGGATCAATCAGCTCGCAATCAACTCTGTGCAACATGGTGGAACCCGCAGACATGGGCACAAATGGTCACCAGCAGTTTTCAGACTGCTGGTCGCTGTGCCGGACCGTGTCGCCAGAAGGGACCTGACCTTGGACAGATTTCCGGACATGGTGAGACATTTTCCATCCGCCGCACTTCTCGTTCTGAGGATGCAGCTTCCGAGGAAGCACGGGCTTCTTCCTGGCAGCTCCAGGCCCATGCATTGCCACGGTCCAGTGTCAAAGCCGGCATGGCGGGCAAAGGTGCTGCAAGCATGCCGGCCACTCCGCTCCAGCTCACGCAGGATTCCGAGGTATGGTGAACACCTTTGGCAAGGAGCGCAATGTTGAGCAAGCAGAGTACGCTTGTACAATTTTGCTGAGTGGAACGCTGGGCACCATCGGCCTCGTACCTTACAAATCTTACAGCTATCGCCATGAAAACCCTACCCTGCACCGCAAATCCGCCGGCTAGGCGTTCTGTGCCAGTCGAACCAGCAAGCATGTGCATCGACAGCTGCCTGCGGTGACAGTGCATCTCACATGTTCAGCGATCATCACACCACTCGTGTTCTTCGGATTGGACAAGCCGACTTGCATGGCATTTGTCTCCCATTAGCATGCAATGATTTCACTGTGCTTCGATTTCTTTTGGATGCGACAGAACAGAAACTTTCCACTTCGTCCCAGCAAAAGCACACTTGCATTGTGGTTGTGGTTGCTGTTGCTGCTTCTGTTGTTGTCCTCCTCGTCGTTTGTTGCTGTTGCTATTGGCGCTGGTGCTTTCGCTGTTGTCGTTGTTGCTGGTGAGCCTCCTCCCTCTCCGCGCCTGGAGGGGTTTTGTTTATGCAGTTTGTGGCAGTCCCACATCCGGGCTTTGGAATAATCTGGAAGCTAGGTTTGCAAGCGGCACAACTCCCCGGGTGGTCCCGCAGCTCTGGGTCAACTGGGTCCTGCCCTAACAAAGAAAGCACGTCCGTTCAGATTGCACCGCCCGACAGCCTCAAGGGAATGGGGAACGACCACTGCGGTGAATAGGACACACATAGCTGGGACGACTTGTCGTGGCAACAATGAAGCACGATTTTCACAATGCAAAGCCTGAAACGTAGCTTTCCGACACTTCGCGACTTGTGCAGCGCCCTGAAGCCCATTATGCGAGCCCACACATGCACTCGTTCGCCCTGCCACTTACCCACCCCATACATTGGCTCTGGGGCGCGAAGCCATCTATGGGTGGTTTGCATGCTGAACCCAAAACTGCGCCTTCATCCTGCGCAACATCCACACTGGAGTGTTCAGCAAGAAGTTGTACAGATCCATGCCTGATGCCGTGGGCAACAAAACCAGCAATCCCCCGGGCAGATTTGGTCGGATCGGCTCGGGGAGTGGCTGACGTCCTCCATTGGCCACTTTACAGAGAAACTGGGCCAGTCCAAGAAGCTCTCCTGGCTTCACGATGATCTGCACGAAGTGCAGCAAAGTCTCACTCTCACTCTCTCTCCTCTCTTTGAGCCCCAGACAAAGGGTACCTTGAATCCGTCACTGAGAATCACTGGTATGCCTCGAAATGCTTGCGGCGGCACGAACAGCAGCAGCAGCAGTTAAGCAAAATTAACATGCCGGCAGCACAACCTGCAAAGAAGGCCTCATACAGGTGATTCGTCCAAGACCTTGTCGTGAGCTGAGCTTGACAAACATGGCGATCGGTCTCAATCCAAGAGCACTGTGGACTGCATTCAAACGCTGCGGAAGCAATTTCTGGGAACCCCGCGAGGTTCCCATAGGCACCAAACAAAAATGTGATGCGCCCATTCCTCAGCAGAATCCAACAATGCTGATCCACAGGTGTCATGGCCGCACACTTGGTTCACGGCGCTCGAAGTAGTCATCTGTGAATCCGCCTACGCTCACACCCTCCAGCCCATCGAAGACCTTCGGCTGAGTGAGCGAATTTCTTACACGACTGCCCTTGTCGGCAACCCGTGCCGCCCGGCGGGTGCCGAGCAGGGGCAAAGGACGAACCAGGAAGATTCTTGGGTGTTGGCATTGGTGCCCGAGCATGATGCTGTGTCCAGGAGTGAAGCGAAAAACCCAAGCAGAAATTTGGGTTCAACTTCGGTCATCATTGCTTCGAGCAGCTGCCTTGCCGCGGAACTACTTTCTAATCGCACGATGCCCGTCCTCCTCGCATTGCTTTCGGTGTTGATACTGTTTGACGTTTTGCAGTCATCGCAACAAGATTCACCCATACTACTTCCATCATACATACAAGAACATTGCATTGAGTTGTTGACCGACGGGAAGAAATTCGACGTTTTCTTGCCAAACTATGGCTTGAAATCCCAGTACCGCCCGAAGAAACACATGCCCTGCAGGAAGGCTTAGCAAGCCTGCCAGCTTCGGTTCGTCGGGACGCGGCCTTGATGATGTTGCCTCGCACGAAGTTTTTCTTGTAGAGGTCGTTCAGGCCAGGATGCCGGCCTGCTACAGCAGATGTTGGCAAAGGCAGCTCAAAGCCCAAAAGCCCCAATAACTTGGGTGCAGGCCATGGAAATTGAATAACAACGTTCTTTGCTCGGAAGGCAAATTGAATTTCGCCATCCGCGTGTAGCGGAAATAATCCTCAGGCAGGATGTCGGAAGCAGACCGCAGTGGTTGAAAGAACAATGGCTGCCACGCTGCTGTGTGGCCTGGGACTACGAAATCCTGCTCATCGCAGCTTCTACGGAGATCGGTGTGCAAGCTCCCAGAACGGAGAGGCAACAAGCTTTCAGTCAGTCCTTCCAAGCGTTGAAGCAACTCGGGCCGCATCTGGGCGTCAAGGCTTCCGTGACGATGAACATTGAGTGAGGGATGTAATCCCGCCATTCCTTGAGAGATGTGAGTAACACGCAGCATCGCATTAGCGGCTAGCGGAATGATGTAGCTGGGGCGCAGGAAAGAAGTTCATGCCCTGGTCCGAAAAGACGAACCTGGCAAAAGAAGCGCCAGCCAAATCCAACATCTCTTCGGTTTTTCACACACACGAATTTAGCTCGCGTGTCCAGGCAAATCCACATCATGATATGATACGCCGAGGAGCACATGGTCATAGCCATCATTCTTGGACCAATATGGCAGCATGTCGTCTTTGCGCTTGATCATGTCGATGTACACCGCGGAGACTTCCTCAGTACCAGCAACGTTAAGGGACAAGCATCGACGCGGCTTCCCATCCCCCCTCCATGATCTTCAACAAAATTTCTGGTGCCTTGTTCTTGCAATATATCCTTACTGGACTGTCTGCACCGGCAGCATTGTAGCCATTCGTCATTCCACAGCCCTTTCTCAAGTTCCTCATCCACAAACAGGATGTGTGGGCAGGACATCGAAACCTGTTATCTTCGCAAGCGAGCGCTCTCGTGCCCCAACAGCTTGGAACCATCACCTCAAAGACCACACACAACACTTCGTTCCTTCATGATGTGCAACAGCCGGGGGCTCGGAAACGGTCTGTTTGAGCTTCTACAGCGGAAAAGCTCTTTGCCCTGCAGTTGTTCATCATTCCTTCAGTCTTGCCCGACACATTACTCGTCACAACGTGTCCTCATGATGTTGCATCATGACATACCATGACTGAATGGCCATTACGAACTACAGTTTCCGACATGTCATAGGCCTTGGTCCGAGATGCTCGTCGAGTTTGGTTCATCTTGTAAACCATGCGATCACACCACGTGTGCCATGGTACCAGAAAGAAGTCAGCCTGGTCAGGATCCTCCGTTAAGCATGAGCCTTGGCGAAGCCAATGAGGAATCAGGGCCTCCAAGCCCCACTGACCATGATGGCAGTGCAGGACGCCCTTGGTCAATTCAGGCAGTTTGTACACGAAGAGCCGCAACGTCGTGCCGTAGCAGTCATGTTGGGGCTCTAAACCGAGCAAGAACGGATAGATCCTCAAGTCATTCAAGTCCGGTGCCCAGTCATCTTTCGCCGCTGTTGGGAAATATGGCTGCAGCTTCGGAATTAAAGCCGTGGTCAAGTAATGGAACATTTTCTGAGCCTCTTGACGCCCATCGTCATAATCAATAGCACGGAGTGCAACCAGCAGAACAGTTGCCAGTGCAAAGCCGCAGTCCTCAGCATGCTCCTCGAGCATATCATTGTGTGTAATGGCCCATAGAACCTTCCGTATCACGCGGGAGTGGGGGAGATCGATGTCAGGCCACTTGTCAACCAGGATTTGTGTATGTTCCCATGTCGTCCTCTTGATAACTTCTGTCCCAACACAGGCCATAAAAGGGGCCCTTGAAAGAGGCTCCATGGCGCCCACCAAAAGTGGGCAGACACTTCCCAAGATTCCCAGGAATAGGAGCATCCAGACTCCTGTCTGCACCCTGCACGGAGCTCCCAATGCGGCCAAATGGTCCATGGTCCTGAAATGCGTGCTCCATCAAGACCTTCGAGACGTTTCAAACTTTCAATGACATGTCCTTTGGTTTGGTGATCCGAGTGTGTTAGGAAGGAGCGCTTCAAATACAAGCGCATCTGCTGAAGTGGTGCATTGATGGCTGGAAGGAAACTGATGCTAGCTTGAGCCGGGCTGAAGCAGTACAGAATTGAATCGAAAGCACATACAACAGCTCTCATCTTCGTGGCCACCTTTGTGCATCACTTCTCTGTCCGCCCGGTAAGGCTAGAAGTGTCCGTTTGAGGCCATGTGCTGAGAGTCTTAGACATTGGAGATGCTCCTTCTGCGCATCTCAACTCCAGCTGAAAAACACGTGCAAACGGATGACTATGTCAGATTCGCTTGGCGAATGCAGCACCTATCCGGGAGCCCCAGTACACGGCCTGCAAAGACGAGAAGCTCTCTGACATTCTCTCAGTCTCTCTCAGTGTGAACGTTAGATAGACACGCGCAGCACGCCAAAACAGGTCAGGCCGTCCGAAAATTGAACAGAGTCCAGAAGTCTGGTTCGAAAACCTGAAATGACAAACACACACACACACACACTTGATCCAAAGGATGTTGAAAGTGTGAGATTTGTGTCCCGGACTGCAGCGCGGATCTGCAAGCCTCAAGGCTGCATCCTCGCAACGTCACACAGAACCTGCACTTCTTGCATGATCCTGGATTTGAAGCGACTCCTCTTTGTGATGAACCTCGTCTGCACCTCGTTTGCTCACACAAAATGCTGCAAAAAGTACTTGTGTTAGGCTCCGGCCCAGTTTTGAAGTGCTTGTGACATCTTGCCATGCCGAGGTCGCCACATGCATCTTGCAGGAGCGTGAGAAGAGCTTCATACGCCTGCCGTGCGGCGAAAGAGTGTTTGCCGTTGTCGTTCTGCGGAGGTTTGATTCCTTGCGCGGCTCGTGCTCCCCGGCTGAAAGCTCCACTTTCAAGCGTTCGATCTGCTCCTGAAGCTGTGAGACTTCGGTGCAATCAACACATCATTCGCGCAGGGTTTTAACACCATAGACCAATTGAGGTGTCCACGCCGTAGTGCTCTTCCACAAATGACTCGACCGCCTGGGTTGTGACCTAGATGCAGCCAACAACGGTATCCACTCCTACAGCATCCACATCAGTCGTCTCGCATCGTACAGTACAGAAGTCGTGGATACATGGCAACGATCAGACGAACGCCCAAGCCCACGGCATACATGCCCCGCGCACCTCTGGCCTCCACTTGCAACAGCGAGCTCTGCCACCCGTGATTGAAGGAACTTGCATTGCCAGCAGTGCTGAGTGCAGTTCTGCGGTGGACATGTATCCGAGACCGAATCCAAAAGACTCGGCTGGCATCCAGCTTTGCTCACCTCGCACAGCTGTCTAGACAAGGCGACATCACGCAACTGCTGACGTCGTACATCACGATCTAGATCTCCTCCTAGCGGGCACACTCAAGTGCAACTTGGTTTCCGACTCGAGTGAGAGACAACGGCACTCATGGCGGCGAGATGTGCTTCTTCGGAGGCCTTGCCGCATGCAGCGGTCGGCAGTATTGCGAGAGAAGTCGACACACAAGCAGCGGGCCACGTGCTCTTCCACGAACCTGAGAGCAAGGAGAATTCGAGGCACCCTGGAATGGATGCTGTTGAAGTGCGCGACTTGCGAAGGCTGTCTCGCGTGGAGTCGCCTCAGAAGCGTTGAAGACTGTTATTTGGTGTAGCCACACTCAGCAACACAGGCTGTGTCGCAATGGTGGTCGCTTGCGAACTCATGTCTCAGATGAGATGCTGGAAACGTGCTTCAGAGCTGCTTGACAGCCACGATAAATCGCCACCTGCGGGATGCGATGGCTAATTTGTGGAACGCCAGTTCATGCAGCATCCGAGGGGGCAGCCGCGCCAGTCTCGCCGGCCCAGTTGCTTCGCATCTCCTTGGTGGGGCACTTGATAGATTCTGATAGATGCTTGAACAGGAGGCGGGACAGTTCAGGGCCGGGCAGCTCGCAACCACGGCGGCCATGGCTTTGACCTCTGGCCGCGACTTGAAAGATTTGAGAAGACCATCGCCACATCAGCAACATAAATGATATGACGGCGTGCTTACTTCGAGCTGCAAAAACAAGCTGCACTGTGGATCGCACTGACGGACGAGGTTGAGAGTAGCCTCCAAACTCTAAACCCCTTCAACAACAGTCGGGTTGCGATCAAATCCCCAAACACCTCAGTCGTCTTGAAAGTGCTGAAAGCCGCTCGCTGAATGCAGTGGCGGAAATGGACCTGCGCTACTAGACTACGAACAACATTTCCAACCACACGCTTTGCAACCAAGCATGTGTGCCTGCGTCCGGGAAGCGATGCGCAAACTCATGGCTCTAGTGGTCGCTCTTTGCTGTCAGTGGGTTCGGATCATGTATTGCCCCACGAGGCACGTCTGCATGCGACAATGGCCTTCAGCATCTGAACCAAGTAGTCATGCCAACTTATGGGAGCAGTCTTTCTGTCGTCTTCCGGCATTGCACAGCATCTCTACTCATTCATCTGTGTGGGTCGAAGCAGAAAAGCCGATCATTTATCCATTGGATCATAACCCAACATGTCGCACACAGTATCCATGCATCTAGCGCCAAACATAGGTATAGTCCGTATGCAGTGGCGCTTTATCATCCCTGCTACAAGCTCCTTCCGTATGCATGGTGTGTGACGTGGCCATGACCCGAAGCTACATGTGTGTTTGTCTCAGGTTAAACGCTTAGTGGTTGAGCCTCTTGACAGTCTTGAAGACCCTTTTGGAGCCCACGCTTCTTGGCTTAACTGGTGAACTTTGCACCAGGCTTAAAGACTAAAACTTCGAGCAGGTGTGCCGGCTGCCAGTAGGCCGGCTCTTAGGCATCACAGGAAAATCACAAGGCAGCTGATGTTGTCGTTGGACCCACGCGCCAAGGCTTCCTCTACCTCGTCGTCTGCATGTGCGACTGCAGACACGGAGCAAGTGAGCAACCCAAGAGATTACAGTCAGCAGTTTGGTGAAAGGGGCTCACAGATTCGAGGCTTGGCCCCGAACCAGCATGCGTGCCAGAATCTCTGCCAATGACCGGCCCTCTGACTCCTGGCGAGCTCCGTTCATGAAGGCGAGAGGTGCACAACAAGTTGGCAAGGTAGTGGCAGTCCAGCTGCCGAGCAACGGGAGTCAGCTCTTGCATGCACTCCATCACCAACTGGACTGCCTTGAGCCCGGGGTAATCAGATGTGTTGAACGGCTAGCTGTGTGCTGGGAGTGGGGCCTGCTGATCATTCATGACGTCCCAGATGCCGTCGCAAGCGAGGATTATGAAGGAATCCTCCGTCAACCGAGATTCCCATGCCGCGCAAACTTATGCTTTTATGAGCACGTCAAGTGCAAGTGCCTTCACTTTCTTTTTGCACAGTGACTCGGCATCCACTCTCCATACCGTGACTTCGCGCAGCTCGAAACTTTAGCGCTGGCGCAATCTGGCATTGCGATCAACAACCCTGGTGCAACCGAGCACATGCGATCTTATCATGCTAGTTTGCACCGATAAGCCTCCACACCAGCAACATGAACCGAGGAAATCCACTAGGGACAAAGGCTGCGACATCGCACTAGCACTACGCCAGGGTTCTCTGCAATGCAAGTGCGAATCGTTCACGCAAGGATGGCAGCTGCTCAGCAGTGCCACTAGCGCCATCAATGAGAAGCTATCCTGCAAGAGAGGAGATCGGACATGTCGCACGGCACTGCATGGTTGGCACCGCAATCCGTCCGCTCCTCCTTGCCTTGTCTATTGACCTTCCTCTTCCAGCGCCTTTCGAGGGTAAAGCAAGAGTTCAGGTTCACCAAGCTGCGCAAGCCCGCCTCTTCTGCCTGCCCTTCCTCCTGCGAGCGCAGACAGGGAGAAGTCGACAGGGCATGCCGCAGGCAGGCTCCCTCTCCTCGAAGGCGTCCGCATTGCCCTCTTCTTCAGCGCCACCCTGAAGCCCGAAGATGCGGACGCCAGGCGCGAGTCGGGGGTGCAGCGACATATGGTCACGAGCCTTGGACTCCTTGTGCTCTTGGATTTGAGCACTCACCTTCAACTGGCATCTTTAAAGAGCTTCTGATTATCGCTGCTTAGATGACCAGCCCGTCTCCACCTGTACATACAAGATCAGCAGGACTGTGACATGGATTGCGATGGCAATGCCGATCATGTTGAGGTCCGCCGATCCTGCAGGCAAAAGCATGATACCGCAACAGCTGGCTCTGCGGCCTGAGAACATCGCCTTACAACACAAGGCTGGAGCGGTTGTGACATTGCTGAAGTCCTGGGGGTGCTGTTGGTGCCTCCGGTGCATCTCCAGCTTGTCCTGAAAGATTAGTTACAACATTTTCCGCAGCAGCACGCTGCTATGACGTGCCTGCATCGCCAACTTCTCCTTGCTCACCTTGCAAAATCGAGAACTGCGGCTTCGCTAAGACTTGGGGCTCTAGCAGTCCTCTGTCCCCCTTTGGTCCAGCCGGCCCTGAGAGAGAAAGAGAGAGAGAGAGAGAGAGAGAGAGAGGGTGAAATAAAGAAGCAAGGGCTACGGGACGGACGAAGACGGGAGACGGCCTCTCTTTCCGGCTACTCCAGGATCACCTCGATCTCCTGGATCACCTTTGGCTCCGTTGGGCCCGACCGCATCCACTGCGTTGTTCCTTCCGAGCAGACATCTGTGAATTCCGTCTCGAACCTCTAGGGCCTCTGTAGTGCTTAGGGCCATCTGCATCCGAGAAGCCGCCGCGGGCTTTGTGAGGCATCCTGCGCCTGAGAGGCCGAGGCTAGCCGCTCGGCGATGCGAAGCGCGGAAGCGGCGTCTTCATCTTGGATTCTTGGATGATGAATCAAGCCAAGGGTCAAATGCACGCCAGGCCCCTGAGTCTCTGAGCACATGAGGGCTGAAGCCACACAAGAATCAGAATCAGCTGACCAAAACCACAAAGGCAGGCTCAGCCCAAGTGCAGGTAAGCTTGCGACCGTTAGCCTCAACTTCAACGGTGTGGGTGCTCAGTAGAGACTCTGAACCTTGGGTGGGCGGGCCTGCTGCCACAAGGGTCTCTGTGTTCTGGCACAAACACTCGAGAGAAGATTCTAGAAGATCGGCTAGGCAGCGGCCGGGGTCAGGTGCCAGAGCTCCCTGGCGGACTGGATGATTCTCGGCTGGGACCTGCCTGCGCACCTGCAAGGCTGGCAAGAAAAGGCAACACGAAAGAAAGTCACGTCTAAAGCCTGGGCTGCTCCGGTGGATGCTGGCCATGAGTTCACTGCTGCTGGCCAGCCTCCCAAATCGTGAAGGAAGTGGTTGGCAAACGCTCAATGCGGCTGTGAGAATCACGTCTGAAACTATATTGCTGTCGAGGTGCTCAGCAGCAAGGAAGTGCATAAGCACCACATGTCAAATATGGAACCTGTGCGTGTGGAGTGAAGTCTCCGGCAGTATCATTTTCTCGATTGTGTACAGGCCGCACATGTACAGTAGTTGCTGTTCTGCAGACGCTTTCCTGTGTATCAAAGTACGAGGCTAAGGGACTCTAGCTACGAACTTGTTTGTGGCTCGCAAGCGCCCAACGCAATGGCCTCTAACTTCTGACGCAAGCTAATGCCGCTATCGTCAATAATGGCAGCGGCATTTCTTCAAGAAGTTGAGAACTCTGGTTGCGTAAGCCTGCATTACATTGAATCCGAATCTAACGGAGCAAGACCCAAAACCAAACAACCCCCCAGAATGCATTGAGCGCGATTCCCCATGCAGCTTATCAGGGATTAAGAGCAATGTTCTATTGCGATGTCTGCAACCCACCTTTTGTATAACATAACCTCCTGACATATAAAACATATCCAATCATGGGCCCGTACGGCCGTACGGGGCCGCCGTACGGCCGTACGAGGGGGGTCCCCGTCGTATAACATATATTCGCGACGTATAACGTATAACCATACGGGCCCGTACGGCCGTACGGGGCCGCCGTACGGCCGTACACGGGGGTCCCCGACGTATAACATATAATCCCCGACGTATCACGTATAACCATACGGGCCCGTACGGCCGTACGGGGCCGCCGTACGGCCGTACACGGGGGTCCCCGACGTATAACATATAATCCCCGACGTATCACATATAACCATACGGGCCTGTGCGGCCGTACGAGGCCGCCGTACGGCCGTACACGGGGGTCCCCGACGTATAACATATAATCCCCGATGTAGCACATATAACCATACGGGCGCGTACGGCCGTACGGGGCGGTATTCTTAAATGTTATATATGTCGGGGATTATACGTTATATGTCAGAAATCCGCATGAAAATGGCACACCAAAAGCACCATGCTCGCAAGACCTCTTTTGCATGGTGGATTGGTGTGGCTGCCGACTCCCGGATGTTCCTTCGGTCGAAGACCTCAGTCTAGGAAGAGATCATTCGAAACAGAGGAGGGTCCCCTCCTTCAGGGCCTACGGCACCTGGGGATCGGGAACCCTCCTTGTACAGAAAAGAGTCCCAAGATCTAGGAGCACTCCTGCAAGAACCTCGCCATCAGACTGAAGGGGGCCTATGCTTTGCTCGAAGAGAGCAGAGATGAGAGGGTCCGGGGACCTAACCAGGGCCCGTCCAAAAGGGGACGGGCAGCAAAATACAAAGGCAGTCATCCTGAGCCGAGGAGACTACGGGAAAGGAGAAAGAGAGAGAGCGAGAGAGAGAGAGAGAGAGAGGGAGAGAGAGAGGGAGAGGGGGAGAGAGGAATAGCCAAATGCAATCCAAGTGCCCTTGTTTTTCGCACGAGGCGATGGTCTGTAGGCCGGCAGGTCGAGCAAGTAGTCCTTCCCCTTTTTGAGGAAAAAGGGGGGAACCATCAGGGCCAAAGGCACCTGGAAGTCCCTCCCCTTCCCGCAATGGGTATTCCTCTTGCCGAAGAAAAGGCCTGTGACATGGCCCGAGTCCTGAGCACTGTAGGTACAATCACTAATACCTGTCACCTCAGGGCCAGAGGCACAAAGACCTTCAAAGGAAAGCAACAGAACCTGAAGGGAGAGGAAACCCCCCTCAGGGCCATAGGCACCTGGAAGGGGTTTCCCCTCCACGTGCCTTCTTCAAAAAGGGGCAGAGCTCAGGCCGGGCGGACCCGGGAAGCCGCAACCTCATGGATCTTCTTGAGGCCATCCCGTTCCGGGTTGGAGAGCACCACCGACCAGATCATGTCGGAGACCTGGCCCATGAGGTTCGTCTTGCTGAACCGGAGCCTGGAGCTGAGGCTGGGGTTGACACGGAGGGAGCGATCGCGAGGGGCCGCCGTGGGCTCCACCCTCTTGTAAAACTCGATCCGGTCCTTCACCCAGGCCTCGTAGAGGTGCTGGGGGGGCTCGTCCAGGATGAGCTGGAGCTGGGCCGACTTCCCTTTGTGCTCCCCCGTGATGAGAAGGAAACGGCTGGCCCCTCTGCCACTTCGCCAGAATCCTTTGCAGTGGCGGCAAACGTAGCCCCCACGAGTCTCACCCTTCTTCTTGTCAACAATTTCCCACGGGGAAACGGAGCTGAGGACCAGGCCGCACTCCATCTTGGCCCAAAACACGTGGGCAGTCTTGTCTCCCACGTTCTTCTTCTTGTAGTCGTCCGAGGCCACACTCGAAACGTTGTCTGGAGTGATGGGCGGGAGGGAGCGCTCCTGCTCCGACCCGGGGTCCAGAGGGATCCTTTCAGCGCCAAAGGCAGCTGAGGCGTCCATGTTCCCCAAGCCGAGGCCTTTGATGTGGCTCTCCGAGTAGCCAAGCTTCCGGTAGATGGGGCCAGCGTACTCCGGCTTGAGGCGGGCTGTCCACCACTGCACGGTGTTGCAGCGCCACGCCATCTTGACCTCCACCACCGAGTCCTGCCCCAAAGAGTGGGAGAGCGAGTTGTAGATCTCCGGGAAGTCACGGAAAGCCTTCAACGGCAGGGTGATCCTTTCATCACATACGGCTCGCAGTCGCATGTGCTGCTTGGAGTCATGGATGTCTGCTACGGGGAGGTCGAGGACCACCTGCGGCGTGCGGTTGATGAAGACCTTGGCAGCGAAAAATGATCCGATTTCACGGTAGAGCTGCTTCCACTCCTGGTTCGTCGTAGGCACCGGGAGGTCATGCAGAATCACAAACTCTTTGGCCTCCTTCATCAATTCGCGATGGTCAGCTCGTCGCTGAAGGTTCTGTTCCTTGTTCTTGGCCCCTCTTTTGTGGGCCCTGATAGTGATCGGAAGGTGGCTCCAAACTGCATAAAGGTGCCTGGCCGAGTAGGTGTGGCCAAAGCAGGAGAAGAGGCTGACCAAGTCCCACGTCTCCTTTTGCCAGTGGGTATTCCCTTCCCCCTCAGCATGGAACGGGCCGATGATTTTGTTCAAAGGGGGCCTCGTGCCCATTGCAACCTGTGCCTCAATCTCCTCCATGGTGAGGGCAATCGGCTCAAAGAAGGGCTGTCGGAAGGAGCAGGGGTGAGTCCTCATCTCGAGCATGAGCTTTTCCCCCTCGGGGAGGGGCTTTGCCCACGTAGGGGCCTCGAGGGTCCCAGGCAGCTGCTTCCATTTGCCCCCGATCATGCGCTGCTCCCCCATGCGCAACTCGATGATACGTTTGAGGCGCAGGATCTGGAACTCGACCGCCGAGCCCACTGGAACTCCCAGAACTGCCTCCGGGGACTGCTCCTCAGGGCCAAAGGCACCTGTGGACGACAGCCCCTCGCCAGAGTCCCGGGCGACTCGTTCGCCCTCACGCTGCAAAGCAGCCAAGGTGGGGAGCTCCTGCAGCAAGGAGGCAGGGAAGGGATTCCTGCTCTGATTCAGCAGGAATTTTGTGTTCATGTACCTTTCCTTCATGGCCTCAATGTCGTCAAGCTCCATCTCCTTGAGCGGGCTCTCCGGATTGAAAACGTTCATCTCGAGGGCCGCGCGCAACTGGGTACCCCAGGTATCGATAGAATCGGCCACAGGTCGGAGGAGTTGGGAGCGCTGGGATCCCTCATCCTGCATGCGCTTGTTAGAGGCCTTGGCCTCTTCCAAGGTAGTCTGTGCAGAGAAAAACTCCTCTCCCTGATTCCCGGGGCCCTGGAGGTAGTTTCGCTTCAGAAGGGAGCGAAGCTTCTCTGTGTCGAGCTGGCGAAGGATCGACGCGCCCTTGGCCCCGTCAACACTCTGGGCGCCCGCTTGCATTTCGACGATCACATCCAGCTGGGGGTTGATGTGGTCCAGGAACTCCTCCTCCGTGGGCTTCTTGGCGTCTTTGTCGACTGGGCCCGAGCTCTTCTTCGTGATGTCCATTGCGGCCGACAGCTGCGGGTGGAAAGCCCTTGTCTCCTGGCTCGGCTGCCAATCGTCTCTGAGGTGGGGTCTTTCTCCCGCCTCCTTGTTGGCAAACGTCACCTCGTCAAAGGGTTGGGTTGCCACCGTGTGAGCCAGGCTAAGCCTCAGGGCCATAGGCACCTGGTCGGCAAAGCTGAGCTCCTTCTGGTCTGTTGGCCTGGGGGGAGGCTGGGCCCAGGAGCCAATGTCCACGGAGGCGGCTTCCTTCTGGGCCTCATCAGCATCCGTGTGCCACGTGACGCCTCTGGGGCCACAAAACATCCGCCAGGAAGAAGAGCCGAGCTTGATCTCTGCCGAGGGGGGGCCCTTGTCCACTGCAATGACCGACTTCTGGCAGAGCTTGCACTTCCCCTCGACCTTGTTGTCGTGCCGTTGCCAATCCGAGAAACAGTTTGGGCACATGAGGGTAGCCCCAGTGCTGCCGGGGTCCAACTGACCCATGCTGCTGTGTCCGACCCCTCTGCGAGCACGGTTGTAGGGGGCAGCCAGCATCTTCTCCTGGGCCAACTGGCGCTTGTAGATATGATACACCTCCAGGACCCTCTCCACAGCTGGGCGATTCCACTGCTCCGATTTGAGCTTGGAGAACAAGGATGCGATCTCCTCCTTCGTCAACTGCTGTGCCAGGTCCGCACTCTTCTTGCCGATGCCCGGGAAGTCCTCTGGGAAGCCCTCGATGTGGAAGACCTTCTCCTCCAGGGTGCCGGCGGGTAGGGCAGAGTAAGGTCTGGTTCTGGCCGCCTTGTCCTTGGTGGCATCAGACAGGCCTCCCTCAGGGACAAAGTCACCTGTGGTTGGCACATCCTCGCTTCCCATGGGATCATCAGGAGCACCTTCCTCAGGGACAAAGTCACCTGTGGTTGGCACCTCCTGTCCAGTGACGGCCACCATCTCGTCACCCTTCGCCAGGAGGCGGGACATGGCCGCTTCCATTTCCTGGAGCCGAAGGGCCATGCTGGTGTCATCCACCTCCAGAGCCGTGAAGGAAGCCAGGGCCGTGTTTGCGGTCTCATCCTCATGGGCATGGACATTGTGTGCCAAGGTAGCACGGGCCAAGGCAACGTCGTCGTCGGGCTTCTCCCATTCCGGATCACTGTCCCCTGTGTCGCGAGGGGGGACCAAGCTCTCAACCGTCTCCATGCTGGAGGCAAGGACGTCGTCGACATTAGCAACGGGGGTGAGTGCCATGGTCGACAGTCGCGAGGGAAAAAGCGGGAGCGGTAACAAATTTAGAAGGACCCACGGTCCACGATCTTGGGCCAAAATGGCAGAGCCATTTTGGCAGACGTCTCCTGACATAAGTCTTGCAAGTCGGCAAGCCTTGGTAGCAAGTAACTAACGTCGGGATGTATATGTTATATGATACGCGGTCCAGATCATATGATACGCAGCCCAGGTCAGGTGTTTGATAGAACCAACGAAAACATTGCTTTTGGAACCTGATAACATGCAGCCCCATGCAGCCTGCTACAGCAGGGGAGGACTGCTAGTCGTCATGGTTTTGCTCGGCTCGACCGTCAAGATTGTTGGCTATGACCGAGGCTGCTGTCAGGCGCAAGTAGCTCCAAGTTGTTTCCATTCGTGCCGCTTCGATTCCGTTTGAGTCCTTGCTGAAACGCGATGACTAGCTTGAGCTAGGGCTTGTCAGACGATAATTTCTTTATGCTACTCTGAGAGCCAAGAACAAGCGATCCGGTACTTGCGAAGGGCAACGCATACGGTGCAGAACCTGTTCTGGCTGGTGTCAGTGGTCATCAGCCCGCACAGCCCCGTGTCCTGCTTCGTCAGATCTGTCGAAGTGATGTCAGGCACGTTGCTCACCACATCATTCGGAAGCATCTCAGTGATTCAACAGCTGCATCGACTTCTGCGGAATGCCGTAGGCACGTTGCTGGCATCTTGAGCACGTGATCACCCAGCGCGCGCGTCATGGCCAACCTTATTGCTTGTTGCTGAGACAGGTTGTGCACACAGCTCGGCACATGCAAAGGATTTCGAAGGCAAGAAGCATTCCATTCACACGGTCATTGATGATGTGCCCGCCTCGCACCAAGCTTTTAAAAACAGATTGAGCAGCACGCAAAACGCTGTGATGCTCTTGTGCTCCATCCTTCTCTGCTGCTGGCTCTTGTCGGTCTATTAGGGAATCCCTGACCTCACAACGTGTGCTAAGACTTCTCATTCGCCATTTCCAACTTGCTGTGCTGCCCTCTGTTGAATCGTTTGTCGGGCTCGTTTCCCTGAGCCCGTGCTGAATGCCTCTGAGAACTGCGAGGCCCGAAGCTGCTGAAGCTTTCCTACAGAAGATTTCCGAGAAACGAAAAGCTATCCTCAGTTCGCCTCTGTCTTCTCTCTGACAGTGCTTGCATGCTGCAAATGTGTAGCACGACTAAGCGTGCCCGGAAAGCTTCTGTCTCGAAGAGAAGAAGAGATCGAACCAAGGCTGAGCTGCAACGCAAGACGCAAGGCAAAGCGCTGGCCTGCTTCAATGACCCGCTTTGCTTCCAGCAGGTCTGTAGCCTGTTCTGATTTCTGGAATCTTCGGATCATCGTGTGCCTACCAAGGCCTTGTGGTCGGTCATGGACGTCATTCGCGTCGCCATTCCGCTTCGTGCCAGCACAGCACGACTGTCAAGGTGGCGTGCATCAACATGTCTTCAGGCATCATGTTTCAATGCCTGAGACACTGACCTATCCCCCAAGTGCGCGGTGTAGATCACGCGCCCATTAATTTCTTCCTGCTGGTGCAAGCAAGCAAGCAAGCTCATGTTAACGAAAGGACTGGAAGCGCTGATCAACGAGGGTTCCCTCCGGCTTGGCTTGGCGGCTTGGCATGGTTCGACTTCCATCGATTTGTTTTCGTTGGAGTCTGTAGCCCTCGGCACGTGCACGCCCGGCACCGACATGCACACCAAGTCGAGATGGAAATGTTGCGGGTGATGTCATGCAGGCTGGGCTGCTGGCCTGGAGAAGTGCTGCATCACTCGCAAAACCCCCTCGATTTTTATACACCATTCCATTTCACTGTGCTGTCAGGTTCCTTGCTTGATCTTGCTTGCGACTGGCCGTAGCTCCTTTGTAGTGTCATGTCACGTCACGTCCAGACTACCGACGAGAGCAACCCAAACAAAAGTAATCTTTGCCCGAGACTGGAACCTCATGGGGTGCAAGTATGTAGCTCACTATCATCTGAGGAGACATCCGAGGAAAACTGGAGCGGTGCACACATGCCGAAAATGTCGAAGGCAACGCTTACAGCGGAAGTGAGAGCCTCGGCAGCAAAAGACGGATGACAGACCTGCACCAGAACTAGCTGAAGGGACCAAACTTCTGGCGGCGAAAGAAGTCTGAGGGTCTCGGTGCACCCGGACCCCCGGACAAACAGAGTAGCTTCGTACCAAGACATGAGCATGCGCAGGACCACGGGCAAAGCAACCAGCACTGAAGTCCAAAACAAGGCGGAGCAACGCTGAGCCTGGAGTTTTGAGCTGCTTTACTTGTTCCAGGGGGTCGCCTTTTTGTTGTCTTGTCCCTGTTACGTCGTGTTGGTAGTGTTTTGTTTTGTTGCGTTGTGGAGTTGTGTTGCTGTGATACTTGGATGTCGACGATGGCGATGACGATGATGATGCAACCACCCACGCGACTACTACTACACCCCCCCCCCCCCTCGCACAAGCCCCAAGCCCCACCCCCAAGCCAAGCCCAGCCATTTTAAATAGGCCCTCCTGGGAGCCCTTGTCTAACAGCAAAGTTTGTGTAACAGCAAAGCTGGTGTAACACCAAAGCCTGTCTAACGGCAACGCCTGTCAAACAGGGAAGCGTGTCTTACAGCAAAGCTGGTGTAACAGCAACGCCTGTCCATCAGCAAACCCTGTGTAGCAAAAACACGAAAATGAAAGTGATGCAGGCATTGGTACAGCTTCACGGCTGGCTTTGTGCTTTGAAAGGGTACGACGAGGTGGCCGTCTGAAACGTCCTAGACCCACGCAGCCAAAGTCCGGCAAGCAACCGCTGGCGAATTTTGAAGAGTGAAGACTCAAGGATGAGCGTGCCCACGGTCTTATTAACTAGTAGCACCGACACCTGCCTTTCAGAACGGTACTGAAGTTGCTAACCGGTCTTGCAGCTTTTAAAGCGGACAACAGCAATGAGTAGACCAGTCCCGTCAACTGACAACCACACGGGTTGTCTTATCGACACTCTGTTCTTCGTATGGAGGCCTTGATAAGTTGATAACGTGTTCTTCCTCATGGAAACCTTGCCTGACCTTATTCGGTCCATGCGGTCGGGGGGAAGGGGACCGCCCCTCCTATCGATCGTGCCTATATTAGGACTGAGCAGACCCTGGAGGATCTCTGATGAAAGATAACTCAGGCAAGCTCGGGAAAAGCCAAATTTCGTCAAAAGGTGGTCGGGCACGTTAAACTCCTCAATGGACTCAGAGGGCCTGCAGAAGACAGCAGCATGCAGTGCAGCCCGAGGAAGTGATGTTCCTCGCGCGGTCAGACCAACCATGCCATATTGGGGTGGGCCGGGTAGCCATGGGCATGCTATGGGAATTTCAGAATTGAAACGGAGATGCTCCTGCGGAGCATGTCATCGTCAGTGGCTCGAAAAGCCTGTCAGGTTGTCAACTGAAACCTGTCTCGTTTCACCGTTGAGAGGTGTCCACGCCTGCAGCAGGGCGTCAGCTGGTGAGTCTGTCTTGCGCAGCTCCTGCGTCTGCACAAGCGAGTCGCTCGCATCTTGCTCAACTGGGGCTGCGCATGCAACAAATGCAGATGCACGCTGGTTCGTGTCCCGCAGCAGGTTTTCGTGCAACTCTCGGGTGACAAAGTCAACCTGGTGAGTGCAAAGATCTTGCTGGCATGGACGGTTTGTGGAATCCCACCTTTTTGATGTATGTACGATGGAGCAGTGTCAGTAGCAACTGTTGAGTCAGTGCATCTGATTCAGCTCAATGGAACTGGCACAGCTGCAACAATACCAATTTAATTGCTGTGCAAGACTGTTGCGTTTGCAACAGGGGCGGCACCAAGCGTCCGGTCTGAGGGCAGGACCACCTGGCGACCGCCATGTCCGTCGTACACCGCAAAGAAGGCACTGCGCTCCCGGCCGCCGAACTTAGTGACATCTTCTGGCAAGGGAGTGGAAGTATTCTTGCTACTAGCAGCTGCAATGTCAATGCCTCCCTTCGTTCTGTGCGTGTCCTATCTGGGCCTCCCGCCTGATCCACAAAAACAAAACCATCCTCCATCTCCGCACGACGTCCTGCATAGAAGGCAGCAAGCCGTGTTGAGTGTTGAGCCCCTGCGCTTCACTTCCCCTTTTCGCCCCCCCCCCCCGGCAGACCTTGGTCTTCTGCCCATCCAACTGCTTGAACCGACACAGGATTGTGTGCAAAGCCTTGGATTGACAGTATTATCATGCTGCCGCTAGGCACCGTCTCTGAATCTCGCAGAACATCTCAGTTCCGGACCCATCTTACTCGCCATATCTCAGCAGTGCCAGACTCTTCTTTGAGCGTCCAGCCCACGCTGCGACGAACGCTTCGCCAGCATTGCGTGCACTGCCAAGAGCCGCAGTCAGGCCCTTTTGGAATAGCCCGGATACCTTGTTGGAGTAATCTTTTTGCTCAAAAGCTAGCTTTCCGGTTCCGGTCGATGAACATCTATTATTTCTGACAGGTGGTTTCCACATGCTTCCCCATTCTTGCGGGCTCGCGTGGAAGACTCGAGGGAGTCGAAGCCTCTGGGCCAAAGCAGGATTGGCCGGTGCTTCTTCGCTGCAGAAAGCAAGTGAACGCCTGCGGCGCGCGCCGGCGGAGAATTCTCGGGGCATGCTCGGGCTTTGATCCGCCGCTCGGATGATCGGATGAAGCCCCTGTCATGTCAGAGACTGTACAAAGCGCATTAGCAATACATGTGAATACATATTCAAGTATACGGCCCGTAGATATCAAACTCCTTCTCGATGCGGAAACGACTTCGGCGGAAGGAGTGCAGACGTCGGCACAGGCTTTAGACGCTCGTTCAGCGTGTCTGCGAGGGATTTTCCAGGTCCGTCTTCACTCAGGCTTGACGGATCTTGGCCAGGGCGGCTCAGCTGCTCTAGCGTGGCTTTGACTTCGGCGTACTGGCGCTGATCCAACTGGAGCAGCTCTCTCTCTTTGGCAATCTCCGCCTGAACCTCTTTACGAATCTCCTTCAGCATCTCTGAGTTCGACTCCAGGTTGCGGTAGGAAGCTTCAAGGTACTGATTGGATTGTCTGAGCATGAGCAACATCTCCTCATCGTTTTCAGCGACCTGTCTGAGAAACACGAGTTCATGCGACAGGTGATTGCGATCACGACGCAAGGAAAGGCTCTCAAGGTTGGCATTGCTGCGTGCATCTTGCAGCTGCTGGAGTTTCTGCTTGTCTTCAGCAAGTTCTCTTTCTAGAACTTGCTTTTGAGATCGGAGCCTTTCACATTCCCTTGATTCGTGAGCAGCTTGCTGCTCAAGCTTTATATCCGCATCTTGCAAACGCCTTAGCTCGGTATCAAGCTGATCAACCTCATCTCGCAGCTTCCTTGCGAGCTTTCCGTCGAAATTGGCAACTAAGTGCAGTTGCTCTGCCGGTCCGCTTAGGCTTAGGCCAAGGTGGTCGGTCGCAAAAGGATCTTTGCCCTCAAAGGCACCGTCAAAAGCCGAGGAGACAGGCTGCTCGAAGTCTGGGATCTCCTGAGGCCAGCCCGGGCCCGCGCCGCCTGGCGCAGAGGCGCTTTGGTCACCATCTGGAAAGGCTGGAAATCCAAAGTCGGCTGTGGAATCTTGAAAGCCTGGTGCAGATGGGAAACCTCCTTCGCTTTCGAAGCCTGACGCGAAGCCGGCTGCGTCATCGAAACCCGTGCTTTGCCAATTACCAGGGTCCTTGGTCTCAACACTGGGGAAGCTTTCGCCAGCAGCGAAGGGGTCGGGCAGCTCTGCAACCACAGCCTCGACTGGTGTCACCGACGGGTGCGGTGATGCACTCCTGCTTCGACTCCGGCTGGCCTCACGCTCTGCCGCCAGAACCTCCAGTGGCTCGAGGCTCGCAAGGGACTGTGCCAGCTGATGAGGCAGCCCTTCGCCCGGGCCCGGAATTCTCTGGCCACGCAGAGCGCAGGTGACGAGATGAACCAGGCAGACAAACTCCGAAAAATCCAACTTTCCGTCGCAATCTTGGTCTGCCAGCTCCCAGGCTCTTCCCAACGAGGATCTTTCAAGCCCGGATCGCTCCAAGAGCTCGCTTGCTTCATTGCCCTGGACGAAGCCGTCCTGGTCCCAGTCTGTGCGCTTGAACAGGGACGCGTACTTCCGCTTCTCGCGCCGCGAGGGCGCCCACCTGATGCATGAAAGCATTTAGTGTCAACTTGCTTTACTACGTTCAAGCAGGTTGGGCAGCAGGTGGGCCGCGTTGTTTCGCTCAAGAGCTGTGAGACTTCGCGACATTGACTTTATCCCAAGCATTGTGCGGACAATCCCCCCAGCTGAAAACCCTCAACTGCTTGCCACACCACAGTTTCAGCTACCAGTGATTGTGTGAGTGGTGGGCCCTCTGCAATTCTGCCGTGTGCCACAGGAGCATACTAAAGCTGTGCTAGCAGCAAATTGTCCGTGGCCTGTCCGTGCTGCTGAGGAACACCTTTGGCATGCTTTACGTTTTGCTGCCGCTTTTCGACAGCCGGAGATGTACAGGTAGCACAGTCGGAGTTGCTTGATGCTTCCCTTCCTACCACAACCGTGAAGACTTTAGCCAACCAAATATTGAACCTTCCTGTGGTTTAATGGCAGACCAGACTCACTGGTGGAAATCGAGCGTGACGTCCGACCGTGCAGAAACCCTCGAACGAACCGACTGAACAAGCCGCAACTCTGGCAAGAAAAGCTGCAACATTAGCAAACAATAGTGCAAGATATGTTCGGGATCGAAGAAGCCAAGGCTTAGTTGTCTAGCTGGATCTCCTAGACATTCGGCCTTTACCTTGTGTCTGAGTGGCCCTGCCCACCTGTCTGCCGTGAAGGTGCGTGGAGACGATGACCGAGCCCTCCGCTCGCCTCTGTGTTCAAGCTGTGTGCCTGTCACCGACGGGTGCGGTGATGCACTCCTGCTTCGACTCCGGCTGGCCTCACGCTCTGCCGCTAGAACCTCCAGTGGCTCGAGGCTCGCAAGGGACTGTGCCAGCTGATGAGGCAGCCCTTCGCCCGGGCCCGGAATTCTCTGGCCACGCAGAGCGCAGGTGACGAGATGAACCAGGCAGACAAACTCCGAAAAATCCAACTTTCCGTCACAATCTTGGTCTGCCAGCTCCCAGGCTCTTCCCAACGAGGATCTTTCAAGCCCGGATCGCTCCAAGAGCTCGCTTGCTTCATTGCCCTGGACGAAGCCGTCCTGGTCCCAGTCTGTGCGCTTGAACAGGGACGCGTACTTCCGCTTCTCGCGCCGCGAGGGCGCCCAGCGGTCAGCCGTGAAAGTCCGAGGGGAGGAGGAACGAGCTCGCTGCGCGCTCTCCTGGCGCCTTCCACGACCACCAATCACAGGCTGCAGTTCGGACTGCTCGCTGCCACCAACGCTTTGCGCTCTCGAGCCCTGTCCAGATGGTTCTGATGGACTCCGTCGTTGTAACCCTGGAAAATCTGGAAGAACTGGCGGCTCTTGGTATACGCATTGTGGGTCTGGCTGAATGCCTGATTGTGCCCAAGCTACAAGTCGGCAAGCCACAAAGAAGCCTTCCACATGCAGGTATCCCTGTGTTGCATTTGCAGAAGCGATCTTCCAAATTTCGTGCAAACTCTCGCGGGGCAGGTCACTCAGGACAAGGAACTGCCCTCCAGAAATACTATCAATGCTCTGCGTTCCGGCGGGGTTCGCAATGGAATACAGCTGTTGGTAGTACTCGAGTTCTTGCTGCGAAAACTGGATGCTGCCCTGACCCTGCTGCATGGCCCATACTTAAACATTGGCTGCACAGTTGCAGCGTGGCATGGGCAACACAATCGCAAGCTGCAGGGACGGACGAGTGGAAGACACTGCAATGCGCCTAGCACTCTCTTCTAAGCTCTGAACATGGATATGCAATCTGCATTGATGTTATCTGCTAGCAACTGTAATGCTGCTTACAGAGCAAACTTCGGAGCTACAGCTCGGGGCCCAAAGGCTGCGCGGAGGCAGTCCACGAAGCCTTCTAAGAAACCTCCGCCGAGCTCCAGAGCCCCCTCCCGGACCTGCGAGGCTCCTCTCTTCGAAGCTCAAAGTCGTGGCACAGTTTGCCTCCTCCCAAAGACATTTCTCCTGTCCCGCGGCATGTCACTCCACAGGATTCAACTCCACCGCTCGGCCACCAAACTTAAGCAACCGAGTGGAAGGGCTTGTGCTGCATCAGCATGTTCTACTCGAAATATCTAGATGAGCCCATAATTCCGCAGCACAAGCGCAACCGTTAGCATGCGACGTTCACGGCAGAACGCCTCAGGTGAAACTTCGCTTTACTGCGACACTGACGCAGAGAATCAAAGACCTGCGGAGATTCGTGCACGACCCATAAGAGGCCTTGCGTGCTCTACAGCCGAGCGGCCCAGTGCCGGCACAAACTCTGATCCGTCTGCAGAGTCACGCGACGCTGTCAGCAGCGCCACTGGAGGCTCTAGCTCGGCAAACCCTCGCTCTTGGAATGTTTCCAGAGAAAGTCACTAGCTGCTACGATGGCTACGAGGGTGAGACAAACCTCTGCGCAACTTGAACTTGCCTTTGGAGGTTATGAACTAATTACTGCTCCCGACGACGCCCATTCCGACACGCACAGCGGACTAAGTTTTAATCTCTTTGCAATCGGTGGTGGGGCATGCCCTCGGAAAGTCTTTGCAGATGCATCACGTAAGAATTAAATTTTCATTTCGGCCAGCACGCGGGAGCAAAGCTCCTTGTACGATGCGAGCCTCAGAGGCAGTTCTTCACTGAACGAGAGGATGCCTCCACTTCAGCAGCCGTGCGCCCGGCTCGCCAGCTGCGCGTCTGAAACGAACAACATAAATCCTCGCTGGTGACGCTGCACCATTTTTGGCTTGCTGCTTGAATTGTGAATTGTAAGGTTCTGGGAGTACCTAGACCACCTAGCCCAAGCCGATGCGTGACAGATGGAAGCTCTGTCGACCAAGGCTGGAGCGATTCCAGGTGATCCAGGTGAGAGATTTCCATCTCAAAGCGCAAACCTTGGCATGAACGGCCAGGAATTGTGCAAGCTGCTCTTGTCAGGCATATCCGATGCCCTCAGGCACCCGCTTTGCTTTTGACAACGCACGAGAAAGGTGTTTGCCTCACCAGTCTCACCGGTGCGAAAACAAGTCACTGCACTGGCGAGTTAACTTGCCCGGCCTGCTTGAAGACCACTCGCTGCAAGGTTAGTGCCTTGTGTATCTCCTCACCAGGTCCCCAGTCGACCCAAGGCCCCCCCAGTCCCCCCAGTCTGCGAGACTGCACAACTGAGCGACAGGTTCCTGCATGATCTGCTTCGGTGCTTTGGAAGAGGTGCAGGAGACGTTGAAGGCGCCACGACCTCGTGTATTCGAGCGTGCACGCATGCACGCCGTATTGCGCAGACGGGCTGCCACCCCGTGCCCAGCCGAGTGGGGGACATGTTCGCATGGATTGGTCTCTGTCTCTGGCCGAACCTGGGCCTTCCAGTGAAAAATCTCTTAGATGCCGGAACGGACCGGTGAAAAGTGCATAGCATCTTTTCGGGGAGCCCACCCTGGCCCAGCACTTCACCCGACGAGCCATGGATGCCTTCCGGCCTCGGAGGTCCGCTCGCACGAGCACGAACTGCTTTTGCAACACATCCCCATCTCGAGGACAGCACGTTGTTGAAGCTGCACGCGCCCCGTAGGTGCGGCTCGTCCAAGCCTTGTTTTGCTTTTCTACCTGTAGCCATCTAGTATCTAGAGCGTCGTGTTCATCCGACCACATGAGATCGTTTGGTTTGAGAAAACTGGTGGATCTTTTCGCCGACTGCGAAGCTATCTGAATATGACTCAAGGGCCCTAACGGCAGCGGGAAATATATACAGTTAACACATGCATGTCATGGCCATGGCTTCCTGTACATGTACAACAGAGGGTGCATTCACACTCAACCTGTTCTCATGCCATGACATCGAGGAAAATCTAAATTAACCACATGAGGTACAATAGGCATTGTCCTCCGGAAGTGGTGTCTGCATGCTACCCTAGCACCGACTCAGCTACTATGGTACATACAACGTATGCCCACGATTGTAGCGTCTGCAATCTACGTCTACAGCTTAGCTCGACTAATACTGTACTCACCAGATTCAATCACCTTTATGATGAAATCCGGTTTCATGGACTTTGTGAAACAATCAGCGGCTTGAGTGGCTGTATCGACCCAGTCCACTCTATCTCCACCCGCAGGGTAGGCCTCAACCGTGCGCTTGCCGTCTTCTGTAAAGATAGACTGGCGAAGAGCGCTAAGCTCGATTTGCAATCGTTTGTCTTGCACACGGGACGGAGCCTCCGTGTTGAGGTGATCGGCTAAGCTGCGGCAGTCCGTCAGCGCTATGTGCGGAACCTGTGTTCTCGCACGAAGTTCCCAATCGGGACCACTACTACCGAATCCGTAGATTTCGGCTAGGGCTGCTCTTATGCGATCCCCTGCCTCTTGGGCACTTTGGAGTGCGTAAGTCTCAGCCTGAAGAGTTGCTCTGCATACTCTTTTGATTGTGGTGGATGAGAACGACACGATCATTGTGTCGTAACGACTACAATTTGGATCGCGAAGCTGGGCAGCTGGAGCGAGAAAATGGATCCGTCCTTGTTGTGATCGGTCTCCCTTTTCACCCGCAAAGCTAGCGTCTGAGGCTGTCAGTACGCCCAGGCTCTCGAAATCAAAGGCACCATTTTTGTATCTTAGCTTAAGGTCGCGACCCTTTAAGGCAAGTTCTAGGACTTTGTTAGCCTCATGAAGAGTGCTAACAGTTGCACCTTTTATCGAGCTCTGAAGCTTCGATACGCGGTATAGAATATCTGGCCTAGCCTGCCTAGAAATCCACGAAAGGCTGCCGACTACAGAACGTAGTTGACGTTCTTCACCTCGGTCAATAAGATCCGAGTGTTTCCTTCCTGCCTTGACATCAATGTAGGTGATCTTGTTCGTGTTATCGGTAACGTCGATTAACACGTCCTTTCCAGATATGTCGAATTGCTTACCGCAGAAGCGTAGTCTTCCCGACTCGCGGCGGCCTACTTCGAACTTCTTTAGGAGCTTATCTATGATAGTTCCGCCCTTGCCTATCGATGCCCATAAAAAGTCATCGACATGTGTTGTCAAGACACAGACTACTTTTCCGGCGGCGCGGTAAAAGTAAAATGCAGGGAAAATCCTGCTTACCTGGAAGCCAACTTCACGTGCTTCTCGGTCGACTTTCCTCCAAAATCCTCTGCCGCTATCGCAGAGTCCGTATACCGGTACTCTGATCAGGAGCATCGCTTCCGGATCTACTCCTGGAAGTCCTCCGCCAGGTTGTCTCATAAGTACAACCCTGTCTATTGGCTCGGCCTGAAAGTAGGCGTTGCGAATATCTGACGATTCTACAGGGACTCCATTGGATGCGGCGAACGCTGATACTAGGCCATGCGTTTCGAGGTCTGAGGTTGGCGCGTCCGTGCGAACCTCTGTGGAATCTTCAAAATTTCCACAGGACACCAGTCTGGATTTGAACTCAGGTTCATAATCCGGCTTAAGACGTTCATGATAGTTCTTAATAGTGTCGACCCATTTAGATGGTATCGGCGTATGACCGGCGTCTAATAGTTCCTTAAGCTGCGCTCCTTTCAGCGGAATTGCCGCTTGAAAATCCTCATATTTCTTCCATTCCTTAGCGCGTGATCCATCGATCCGCAGGCGGACTGCTGGGGTGCATTCCCAGTATTTCAAGGCCTCGGGGAGGTCCTTGAGTTCCTGCTCAACCTGTTCTCTGGAAGAGAACCGGTTAGACCAAAAGCCACGGAGTTTCTGTCGAATACTCACGTTTGCTTCCTCCTCGTGTCTACGTTCCTCAAAACGTGACCTAATAGGAGCCGGCAGATCGTCCAGGAGGTCTGATCTGCTTCCTCTCCTGCTAGGATTAGGGGTTCTTTCTGCCTCGGGTTCAGCTGTACTGACCCGTCGGGATCTCGAAGATGACGCTGGTGGAGGTGATCTAGATCTACCTCTCTCCGGTCGCTCTGGTTGCTCATTCATCTCCTCATCGTCGAAGATTGATGAGAGTGGTCCTGGGCCGTCCAGAAGACCATAGGATGGTTCTTCGACTTCCTCTTGAGGTGTACCTTCCGAAGGTCCTTCTTCGGGCTCCTCATCATCGATGTCACCACCAGGTGCATCTCTGAGATCCTCGAAGTGTTGCTGTCCGCGCACCAGTTCTTCTGGCAGCACGGGTTCCCCTTGGAGAACTGCGTGTGCAAGTGCCTCGGCATCTTGCGCAGGCCTAAGATTCTGTGCGGACACTAGAACCGGTACGTTCTGACACAAAACCCACACGCTCTCGTTCTGGCTACCCTCAAAACCGATTACTCTAGACGCGGTAGACCAAACAGTTTTACCTGTTTTATCCCGCCTAAAGCAAACCACGTCTCCTACCGAGTACGTGTACGGCAGCGGTTTCGCATTCCTGAGAAGTGCACGCTGCACGCGTTTCGAGGTGTCCAAATGGACAAAAGCCTTCTTGGCCTCAGCCCGAGCTTGATGGATTAGGGCAAAACGGCTCTCGGGATCAACTTGGTCGTTTAACGATCCAAGGTCGGCGGTGTTATCCTCCTCTACTAAGGATGGAGGTCCCCGCGGCGTCTTCCCGAGTACCCACTGAGATGGGGAGTAACCTCCATGTCTCAGCATGCTATTCTTGGTGAGGCAACACTCATCCAAGACTGTCTGTAATGCCACTTCGCCTACGGCCTGTGTTTGCGATACTACCTTTCTAGTCATCGCTTTCAGGATCCCGCCGTGGCGTTCCACTCGGCCAATCGACTCGGGTGTTTCTAATGGCGCGTGGTGTACTTGGATGCCATGAGCCGCGCAGAACTGCGCTAGTACCCCGCGATTATGTAGACCACGGTCGCACCGTATAATCGCCGGCATACCAGCCCATGCTGTCCAACGGCGTTGGATGGCCTCTAGACACCGGGCTGATGAAGGCAACCCGTCGCCTACGCGTACGGTCTCTGCAAGCTGAAAACACGTTCCTAAACACACCATATTCATAACTTGGTACTTAGTGCCTTGTGCATCTAAGCATTCAAAGATATCAATACCTAGGGCGTGATTAAAGGAATACCGTTCCGGCATGGATACGGTGTGTGCGTTTCTACGAGGCTGTGCGTCTTCGCACTCATTGCACCTATGAAATTGAGCCGCCTCTATATACGACTTATCGATTCTAGCGGTCCTTAAGAGATTAACTAGAACCTTCTTAGGGCAATGGCCGAATTGGCGATGTAGCCGTCGGATCGCTATGCGTATCCGCTGTGGCACCGCTCGCCATTTCGCGCGACGCTCGGATTCCTCTATGGGTAATCCTCGCAAATCGACGTTGTCGAGGCGAGTTTCTTCCTCGATGGCCTCCTCGGAGGGGTCCATCAAAGCGAAATCGCGCGGTTCTTCCACCTGATCGAAGGGTTCTTCGTCGGCCTCAAGAGCCGGGAAGGCTTCTTGGGAAACAAGTGCAGTAGCTACTTGGTGTTCTGCTATTTGCCGAAGCCACACAACGAAATCTACGGAAAACACATTGTCAAAACTCAATGGCGCCATATAGGGATAGCTATTTGTGGTCCAACCATCAAATATATCCATAATGCCATTGTCGTTGCCATAGTAGGAAATGTCGCCTACTCCGTATACAGGTTGAATAGGAATACTAGCTTCCTGCCACCTATAAGTCTGGGCACTGTCCATTAACAGGTACGGTGTTCCGGATGCTTCGGAGTGGCTAACAACTTCATCTATAAGGTCAGAGTGATTAAGGCCATCTATCGGGTCCTTATACCTTATAGCTACTATGACTAAACTAGGACCCACAGACTGCAGCTCCTTCCTGGCACCACTTGGTGTCCAGGAGCTCGTGGCGTTCAGGCCCATGTCGATGCAGTGGATCATTGGGTCCTGGAAGTGTTGGGGCTCGCTAGTGAAAACAACGATGTGCTTAGGACCAACAGTGGTTCCTACGTTGCTTACATCTAATAGGCGCTTAAGGGCCTTGTCATGGTCCCTTAATTCGTTGATACCTTTGGTTATCAACTTACGCCTCCCCTTACTCAACACTGCCATTGAGCACACAGACTTGAACCCAGCACTAGTTGGGGACTCCGAAGCAATTACTACTCCCTCGTCGCTATGCTCCTTTTTCAAAGTGAGGTTTAGCTGTCGGGCAATAGTTTCGGATTCAGAACTAGGGTCTGATCCAGAGCTAGACCACGACGCCCAACGTTTCTGTTTCTTGGTTCTCGGGTTCTTGGGTTGAGGAGGTTTTGGAGGTAAGGGCCTACCTCTCAAATCATCACTACCCTTACTACCCGAAGGAACCTTCAACCAACCTGGGTCGTCGGGGTCTTCCTTTGGCTTCTTTTCTAGCTTGACCGGCTTCGGTTCAAGTTCCTGTGGAGGTCCACATCCTACAGGTTGTGCGCTAAGAAGGCTTGGTGGTTGCGGCTTCTTCTTGCTTGCTACACCGGGGCCTGGCTTCAGGACTATAGGCTCATCTAGCCTGGGTTCTGGATTACTCCTAGAACCTGAGCCTAAACCGAACCCTGCACGCTCCCCTGTGTATGCGCCATAGGCTGTGCGCTTCTTGCTTTGCCCCTCAGGTTGTTTCTCTCCCTTGTAGGTAGAGTGGTGAGGCATCCTCTGGCCGGCAACGCCTAGAGGTGGTCTCGCGAGACAAAGGAACTTGTTCTCGC